TTTCCATATTCATGAGTAAATGTGTGATGTCATTGCGGATCGTCATTGCGCAGATCCGGAAGGGGGGGGGGGACCCTCCAGCTCTGTCTCAAGTTTGTTGTTTTCATAAATATACATTAAAAATTATGTGAACCCCCCCCCCCCCCCTGCCCCTGATTTGTAAGGGGGGGGGGGGCCTCCATCAGCAAAAAATGCTGCAAATGTAGACAAGTTTTGTTCTCCGGACACATGGCCTCTTTAAAATCAAAAGGGTGGGGGGGGGGGGGGGGGGGGGGGGGGCTCATACCACACTTTCAAGAGGGCGCTGTTCAAATCTGACGATTATCAACACTGCAGTGTTATATCAGAATAGTACAGAAATAACCCCATTACCCAGCTGGCTCTGACCGAATTTTGTGCACATTACTAGTACAAATACAGTTGTCATAATTTTGTTCGGGTGTCAGAGCAAGGTTGGGGGGGGGGGGTTTCACATTGAACAATTGAAAAATGAAACAGAACGGGGGGGGGGGGGGGGGGACCCAAACATTATCTCCATCCTATTGAACAATTAAGATACAGTACAATTCCTTTTGTGAAACACGTACCATGCAAAACCTTAAAGGGCCCTGAAGTAAATTGTTTTCAAGGAACATATTGTGTGCAAATTTCCACTCTTAAAATGAATGAAAACTATTTCACATCCCTTTTCGGTTAATTTAATTGAAAAGTGCACTTCTTTACACGTCATTAACAATTTGCATGCCTTTCCGGACAACTGAGGGCGCTGTTGATGTGATGTCATATCATTTCAGGAAGATAATGTTCAGTTAAACATTAGTCGTGAATTGTGAACCCAAAAATTGTTCCATTTAAAACAAAGAGATAATGTCTGGGAAATCACCCTTTTGGTAAAATTCCGATAACATTCCAATTGAGGCATTTTAAAATCTTGAATTGTTCAACCTTTGAAGTTTTATTTTCCAGCTTTTTTCTGCAGTATTTTCTCGAAATTGGTTTTCCTTAAAAAAAGAAGAAGATGATTTGCCCCTAAATCGTCAATAGATTGGGTGTTTAAATATTGATTTACGCTCCTCTTTACCTCAAAAGAAATTTCTGCATTGTTTGGAGAAATTGAGGAATATATAAAGAGATAAACAGTTTGAGGCGTTTTGTTAAATTGCTCAAATTATTAATTAGACCAAACTTTGCCAAAATGAGAAAGTAACAAGGACGAACAAGATTGACATGTGGGATTGAACGGGAAAAAAATCGAACGTCCATCGATTCTTAAGGAATTTTCCTTTAAATATTAAACGGCAGGAGCGTAAATGGGGGGTGGGGGGGGGGGGAATACCCCCCCCCCTTTTCGTGTTGAGATACCAAAAATGGCGTAATTTTCGAACTTCTTAAGCAAAATTTATTTAATAGAGTACTGAAATTGAAAGGGAAAATAAGTACACAAGCTTTAAATGCGCCGTTTTGATGTAAGGTTAATTGGCGTAGTTATACATGTACATAAGATGTACATCTGTGTCATGAACAGCGCCCCTAGTGTCATGTGGTGTCCAGCAAGCCCCCCCCCCCCCCTCCCGGGAAATTTGTGATTTTAGTCATCCTCCACCCCCTCCCCCCACCCCCAGTCACCGGCACAGATCTACGCCACTGTTAAACAGAAATAGTATTTGTCTTTAAACCTGCATAGAATAATAAATTAAAAAGTTGTTATAGGCAATAGGTATAGTGAAATAAACTTGTTCACGGAAAATGAAAGCAATACTATTATACTACCCTACCCGCGATCCACTTTTAACAGAGTTGTTCCGTGCGAGTAAAGAAATTGTTTTGATAAAGCAATCAAATTAGCAAATAATTTTTTTCATGTAAAAGGTGACAACTTTTCTCAGCATTAATTGTAATTATTACATTACCAAAAATTAGCCGAACAACAATCATTACACAATTACGAGATCGTCAAACTATGAATTATGTCAGATTGCAATAATTTAAATGGCATTATAAAGCCAATTATCGAATTATAATTAGAGAATTATCGCTTTCCATTCTTGACTAATTCGACATTCCATAACACGTCAATAACAATGTAATTTTAAAAATAGTTCAAGCCATAATTCCCCTATTTATCTCCGTTTTTTAACCGTAGTACCACCACAATACTACATTAACGCCCATTTTCGACCGTCCAGGTACCCTCCTACACTTTTTCACCGCCTTGCCTCGGAAATCGAGATAATCTACTTATAACTGTTGTTAAATCTCTTAGTCAGATGGCCTAGCGGTATAAGACACGTAGCGGGATTCGAACCCGTGCCCGGGCGCTCCAAAGGCGTAGCCTTTGGAGCGCCCGGGCACGGGTTCGAATCCCGCACATGTTTTGACTTAACCAAATTTAAGTCAAAAATATCTTTAAATATTTTGTTTTGGTGCTCAAAATTCCTCCTTAAGCAACGAAAAAGAGTAAATATCATAACTAAAACTTAAATGTTATAAATTAGACGGTGATTACAATTTATTTTATTGGTTTGCAATTAAAAAAGACATTTAACGAGGAATAATAATTGGATATAGTTATTTTTTTATAGATAGTTTGTGTCATTGCTTTAAGTTATTAAGGCCTCAGTATTGTTGTGGAATACGACCAAACAAATTATGGGGATTATTAGATATTTTGTAATGTATTATTTAATAGGAGATCGAGAAAGACTACAGAACATGCATATGCAATCGGTTAAAAACCTCATACCCATGTATTCATTTAATATTGTATTTATTTAAACGAAAATTGTTCTCTTGTTTTTATCTATCATTTAAGTAAAAGTCGCATGGAATAATAGATAAGGAAGTATTGTATTGAGACATGTGAACCCGTATGTATTTTGGTGTTCAATAATTTTGGAGGAATAATTGGATATAGTTATTTTAAATAGATATTTTGTAACATTGCTCTAAGTTATCAAGACCTCAGTATTGTTGTCAAGTAAGAACAAACAAAATGTGAGGATTAGATGTTCTTTTATTGTATTATTTAATTGAAGATCGACAAAGACTACAGAACGTCCATATGCCATTGGTTCAACCTTCATAGTTATCAAAAAGTATTCATTTAAACAGATACACCAAAACAAAAGATTGTTAAAGATTGTTCTCTTGTTTTTATCCCTCATTAAGTGAAAGCTGCATGAAACAATAAATAGGGAATTAAAGCTGAATGAAATAATAAATGTGCTTAGAGTACGTAGAGATGACTGTTCTTAAATTTAATTTTTGTCAATGTACCAGGGGAATAATGAATACATGCACATGTATATTATCATTGCATTCATCGTTTGTTTTTCTGTGTGAATGTGAATAAAATCTGCCTCAGTAATATAAACTTGTGTGTTGTGTTAGTTATTTCACTTGGAAAATAAGGGTTAATATGGTTTGCACCCCCCTTCCACACACACACAAATTAGTGTAAACATAATAGGAAAGACTATAAATATGTTACTACAACCATTAACTGTTGTGTTGCACGTGGTTTAAGCGCCTGCTTTATGAGTATGGAGCGCCTCTATCACAGACGGTCACTTCACACTAAAATTTCTAAACAATGGTAGTTTTGGGCGAATTCTGCTCTAGAACAATGAGAACGAGCCTGGAGGATAAACTTGCCGTTTTCAATAGGAATATCTAGCGCCCTCTATCGACGTCCTTTAGGGGCAATCAATTACATGTCGCCCGTAGCGGAATTTATACCTCTAGGGGCGACATACGGTCGCCCGCAGCGGTATGTACCTCTAGGGGCGACAATAACGGGCGCCCTCAGCGGTATGTACCTCTAGGGGCGACAATAACGGTCGCCCGCAGCGGTATTTATACCTCTAGGGGCGACAATAACGGGCGCCCTCAGCGGTATGTACCTCTAGGGGCGACAATAACGGGCGCCCTCAGCGGTATGTACCTCTAGGGGCGACATACGGTCACCCGCAGCGGTATTTATACCTCTAGGGGCGACAATAACGGTCGCCCGCAGCGGTATTTATACCTCTAGGGGCGACAATAAAGGTCGCCCGCAGCGGTATGTACCTCTGGGGGCGACATACGGTCGCCCGCAGCGGTATGTACCTCTAGGGGCGACAATAACGGGCGCCCTCAGCGGTATGTACCTCTAGGGGCGACAATAACGGTCGCCCGCAGCGGTTTTTATACCTCTAGGGGCGACAATAAAGGTCGCCCGCAGCGGTATGTACCTCTGGGGGCGACATACGGTCGCCCGCAGCGGTATTTATACCTCTAGGGGCGACATACGGTCGCCCGCAGCGGTATTTACCTCTAGGGGCGACAATAATGGTCGCCTGCAGCGGTTTTAATATCTCTAGGGGCGACATACGGTCGCCCGCAGCGGTATGTACCTCTAGGGGCGACAATAACGGGCGCCCTCAGCGGTATGTACCTCTAGGGGCAACAATAACGGTCGCCCGCAGCGGAATTTATACACGCAGTTTTAAAAAGGAATATTTGGCGCCCTCTATTGACGGCTCAGTTTTGCCATAATTAAAGTCCAAAACAGGACCGTAAAGAGTGTCTAGCGCCCTCTGTTGACACCTACCAAATATTTGCAGTTTTAAAAAGGAATATTTGGCGCCCTCTATTGACGGCTCAGTTTTGCCATAATTAAAGTCCAAAACAGGACCGTAAAGAGTGTCTAGCGCCCTCTGTTGACACCTACCAAATATTTAACATATTGGGTGTTTGAATACCGATTGATTTTCTTCTTACCCCCAAAAGGAATATCTGCCTTGTTTGGTGAAATGTCAATTTTTTGCCTCAAAAAAAGGGAAGGTTTTTGCACCCCAAACCCCCCAAAATGTTTGCCAAATACAAATCAAATTGCTTGCAACTAGGTACCTAGCAGATCCTAGAATTCGGATGATGATTGTCACTTAAGTTTAGGAATCTGTAGATAGATTGACTGTCCTGATGTCTCCAAAGAAAATTCTCCTCTGTTTAGTAAACAGTTAATTTTAATTTTGGGCAAATTTATTTCAAATATACTTATTTTCGTACACCCTGTAATCACATGTTAGCACTACCAAAATACATTTGTTTTTAATCAAATATAAATATATAAAAATATCAAAATACAATGTTTTACATTTTATGTGAAAGACAGGTTACATTAATTAAGTGCATCATGATTCTTATTAACAGCAAACAATTATTCTATTTCATTTGCAAATGACAAATAAAAATATTTCGGAATGAAATTTGCTAGTTGAAATATGATTAACATTTGCAAATTTACTGCGCTTAAAATTTTTTAACGATGATAGCTGCCTTAGTTTTGGAAAGTCTTTAAAGTATTTAACAACACTTGCAATCTTAAAATTTAAGATAAATATTTATGCATGGACATTTTGTTTAAAAATTAGAAAAAGTAGTTTGCCATTTTGAACTGTTACCTGATCTTTTTTTCCTAGCACCAAATGGAAACAGGAAATGCCAAGAAAAGAAAATGGTGCATTTCCTATTGAATTGCAAATTGAAAAAGGTGACATTATTTTATTGCTGTAACTTTTTATTGCCCCCCAAAAAATTGAAGGATGATGGCCATTTTTTTTGTTAAACTTAATTTGTTTTTTTTGAGGGGGCATGTATTTGTAACAGATGAGATAACATTTGAATCAACTGTTCATTCTGTGTTGTAAGGGCTGCACGACATGGCAAGACTGCCCTGCTGACCAACTAACAAAAACAAAAAAAACTGTTAAAATAATGCATAACAATGTCCGCAAAAACTAGGGTGGGGGCACAGAAATATAAATTCTTATTTTTTTTTTCAATTACAAAATATAGATTCTGCATAATTTTCTGGGTTGGGTGAGGTTATAGGAAACACAAGTATTTCTTTCTTGGCCTGATATAAATAAGGCCATATAATATAGATTATTAGTTTACTGTCGTCAATTTGGACAATCCTATCAATTGTTATACAACAGTTCTCTTTTTCTCCTGCCATTATTCCTCAAATCTCTGTGCATCTTTTTTAAAACCTTTAACCTACAAAATCCACCACTGTGCAATCAAGCTCATGCAAAGAACTTGGAACTACAGGCTAAACCTTCAAACTCCCACAAACTCCTGCAAAATCCCACAAAATCCCACAAAATCCTACACAATCACACAAAATCCTACAAAATCCTCCCCAAATAACAAAGTGCATTATGGACGATATGGGAGGGAAATGGAACTGTCCTGGGACAGATTATCTTAACGATAACTGAGAATGAGTCACCCTCAATATCCTCCACAATCCACTTTCCAATTTGTTTTTCTTCTAAAGAGCCCATGTAATGGAATTCTATTTAAATACGTTCCTTGACAATGTAACTTTGTGTGCCATTTGACTTTATTTTTGGGTACAGCCCATTTTGGGTACAGTTTTGGTTTTTAAGCTTTTGCAAATTATATTCATTAGCAAAACTGTGAAGTCATTCAAGGCAAAAATGTCAGTGTTGCATCTGGTACAAATGCCTCCAGATGTTGATTTTTTTGGTGTGATTACTTTTCTGTTTGAGGTGATTCATTGCTGTGTCGGTAGATGACAGTAAGAAGTTTGTGCCCAGAGTGACATAACTGCAACAGCGCCCTCAGTCGTCCGAAAAAGCATGAAACAAATGATTTCAACAAGTGCACTTTGCAAATATTCTAACCAAAAAGGTGGTCGCATAGTTGTTACTGTGTGAAACTGTATACATTTCAGAGGAACAGCCATTTAAAGCAAAGATGCTCCAGTGTAAAATTCATTTCATGGACCCTTTCAAGAGTTTATTGGTTACAGGACTGCACAGCTAAACATTTACCACTCACAGAAAACCCCTGGCAAACTCCACAAAATCCTGCTCTGCTTTTTTCCCGACGTCGAAGAAATCAAAGACGATGTTCAGCATTCCGTGGAAACCGCCCTCGTAGTTGACCCAGCGTACAGGGACTCGCGCCTCTTCGAGCCTGCGGGCATAAAACACGCCGTCGTCGCGTAGAGAGTCGTAGTTTCCCGTGACCACGTACGCCATCGGTAGTCCCTCCATGTTCTCTGCCATGACGGGGCTCACGCGGGGATCCTCAAACAAGTGGCCGTATTTGTCCCACATCGCGGGATCGCCAGGTCTCTCCGTGGTGTCCTCGTAACCATTACGCAAGTTCTCGGGGACAAGATCGTCCGCAACGTGGCTCAGGTACCGGGGATTTTTCCGGCGGTACTCCGTTGTGACGACGTTGTTGGAAACAACCCATTCGATAAAAGCCGGGCGTTCGGGACTCTTGCCGAAGAGATATGTGGATAAGTAAGCAACGGCCTCGCGGGTTGTCAGCATGCCACCGCGCGTGTTAAAAACTTTGTTGTACATGACATGGGATGGTGAACCTGTGTTTATAAAGAAAAAAAAAATTTAAAAGTTAACAACCAATTCTTTACTTTGGTTTTGAATTAAACTTGACCTTTTACATTTGGGGAATAAAAAGAGATGTAAAAATGATGCTCGTGACTTAAGATGACATTTTTTTAATTCAAAAGATTCTTCAAAAAAAAGGGTACTATGACCAGTTGAGTTGGTATTCTGGTGTCCACTAAAATTATTCAACAGAAAATGAAAACCAACTACTGCATTGAAGGACCCATGCAATGTAACTTTTTTTTAAATTCAATCCTTGAAAATAATGCACCTTCGTGTCCCGTTTATTTTTATTTTCAATTTTCATTTTGTCAATTTTAAGGGTCTTATGGTGCCTTTTTTGTTTCAATGCTAATGTGAATTTCCATATTCATGAGCAAATCTGTGATGTCATTCTGGGCTGAAACCTCAATGTTACAGCTATTGCAGCACAGAAAGTTGCTAGAATTTTGGATATTTTGCTGTCGTACATTTTTTAGTCGTGGTGATTCGTTATGTCAGTAAATTGCAGTTAGCCAATGAGCAAGCTTTCATCACAAATGTTTCAACGAGCAAATTTTGGTTCACAATTTGGACAGAAAACCCCTAAGCTGAACAGTGTTTTCCTGAAATGACATCATAGCAACAGCGTGCTTATAGTCATCTGGAAAAGCATGGACATTTTTAAATGTGTAAAGAAGTGCACTTTTTAATAACACTAACCAAACAAGGTTATAAAATAGCTTTCATACATTTAAGAGGAGAACAAAGTTGCACAAAATGTGTTCTAAGAAAAATTCATCGCATGGCCCCTTTAAAAGGTAGAGGATAAAGTCTGGGTCACTCGCATACTTAAAAGGTCACTGATGCACTGGAGCATTGACCAATGAAAAACTTCTACTTGGCTTTTGAATATGTATGAAGGGTATAAACACAATTTCACTTACTTAGATTGAAAAACTGCATGGCAGGGTAGAAATGGGCGTGTAGTTTAGGGTCTGGAACAGATGGATCGTCGTGAATCTTCTTGACTACTCCAGCGGTAAGCTGACTGCCAGCGCTGTCGCCAGCGACCGCAATGCGATGCGGGTCGACGTTGATCGTCGGACCGTTCAGTAGGAGCCACTTGGTGGCCGTGACACAATCGTCGTAGGCGGCGGGGAATAAATGGACCGGAGCAAGTCTGTAACTGAAGAGTAAAATAAAATGTATCAAAAATTATAAAATATTGTGCAGAAAACTACTGCTGTTGGCCACTGGAATCTATCGCAAGTTACGGTATTTTTTTGGAAAAGTCCACCGCAAATATAATCGCAAGGCAAATCAAAAGACCATCACAATTGACCTATCGCGGTAGAAACGCGCTAGAATCACGTCACACAGCTTGTGAAATATTGACCAATTACATGATATACAAATGGACGCAGAACGCGCAAAATCTGAGACAACAAAACTTAGTGTACAAAAGCGCCGTAGGATTGTCTAAGGGGCGTGGCTAACTCGCAAATGGGGATAGGTCAATTGTGGTCCTCAGTTGTCAATCATGAGTCCTCACAAATCCACCACTAGTCCTCACTAGTCAACCGCTAGTCGATTCAAAAGTATTTTACCTGACAATTATAAGCCTATCATGAAAAACATAAGTAACAGGTTTGAACAATGACAAAGGAATGCTCATTGTCATAGTTCATTGGATATACTTTTCGACTAGTCCAGAGATAGACTGAAGAACTTGTGCTTTTCTTGCAAGAACTTGTGACATATGTGATAACTTGACTGCATCGCTGTGTTCGTTTACTAAAAATCTGAACGTGATTATCATCAGTTTCTAGATGTTGTCTAGTGAATTTAAGACAAATATGCAACCACTACCTCCGCAATATTTTGGTTACCACAGCTTAAAATTGGACACCATGTTTTCAAGTACACGCATTCGTAGACAGTGGATGTTTTGAAAAACATAGTTGGTGTATAATTCTGTTGGATTAAAGGTCAAAAGTGAAATGGCTTACTTCTCCAAAAGCAAGGACTGACACACGTTAACACAGATTAGACTAAAATGACAAGCCAAAATAAATGGACTAAAACTTACTCAACAGACACGACGACAAATTGGAGGGACTCGCACAAACGTCTTGTAAATGGATGGAATGATGCTATTAAAAGTAAAAACAAAACAAAAATTTCCATTAATTAATTACCTCCCGAAGTCTACAAAGCCATTCCAACCGTCAAAATAATTAGACCAACTGGTTTTGGACAGTTAAGAGCTGCCTGCTTAAAGCCAGATTAACTGGCTGTGACTGTTTATGTACCTTGATACATCTATGGGCAATTCACGCATTAGGAAAGAAAGCGTAATGTCCTTGACAGAGTCAATAGACCTAAGACATAATGACGTCACGTTTTGTTTACATGTGCGCTTTCCTATGGGGGCCAGGTGGGGACGCAAGCCAATCAAATTAACGATTCAGAGAAATGATCCCAAACTCCAAGTCCGTAATCTCCTTGACCATTACTAGGAGATGGATGTATAAGATTTGAGAAGAACATTGTGAGGTTTATTCATTGAACAAGTTAAAAGCTCTATCACGGACAGTGGCAGGGGGTGCGGAAGGCCTGAAGTATCTGCAATGGTAGGAATCGAACCACCAACCTGAGCTTCCGTAGACGAAACCTCCGCCATGGAAGTAGATCAGCGCAGGCAAGAGCCCTGGCTCGCGGGGAAACTTGGGCCGGTGGACGCGGACGGGAACGCCGTCGAATTCCATCAACGTCGTCGCGACGTGTTTGTCATCCATGACGCACTGAGGCAGCCACCAGTCGGTGAAGCCAGCCATGTTCTCCTCAAGCGTCTTGCCGAAGACCCGGAAGAACGTCAAGAACCAGGACTGTTGAAAAGAAAAACGTATACATTTTATTTTTTTTTTTTTTTTGATAACCATCGAGTGTGCTGGGGTAGGCTGGCAAATTGTGGAGCGCCGTGGTCAAATTCCATCTTACGAATAGTTTGGTTGGGGAACATGGTGCTTGTGTTCTTGGGCAAGACACTTTACGCCATTTAAAATTGATTTTTAGGTTATCATCACTTAGATTGAAAAAAAAAAATCAGTAGGGAGGGGTATTTATATTTTTTATAAATCTCAATCTGTTAACGGGTCTTATTTTGAAGACATGCAGTACTCACCTAAAAAAGAAGGGACAATTTTAAGTCCTTTATATCACTACTTGAAAAGGGGAAATGCCGGGATAATGCCGCATGCATTTTATGCGTCATGCAAAGAAAAATCTGCTTAATCATGTTGGGAAAAACGGAGTTGCTTGACAATTTGTAAGAAATTTGTCTGAAAAAATACATGTTATTGGAGAAAATATACACTATTGGAGAAAACATACACTTTACAGAAAAAAAAAATGTATAAAAAACATTGGGGCGGACGTGAAAATCAGGGCAGGAGATAACGAAAACCTAAACATCAATTTTAAATGGCCTTTCTACATTTGCCTCTCTCCACCAAGAGTATAAACAGGTGCTTGTGACAGTAGAGACCAGATTGCGCTGACCTCAATTGCTGCAGGGAAAAAATTGTTCCATGGCCTGATGAACAGGGGTAATAATTGTGAATACCTTGGAGACCAGAAAGTCCCACTAAACACATCATTATTACTAATTTATAATTCAACACGTCACTACTTGCCAGCCTTCCTCCATAAAATAAGAAAGAGAAGTTGCGACACCTGCACCAGCAAGCCGGCGGTCGCAAGTTCGAATCCTGTTGAAGCTTTGTACTCACAAGAGTGCGGTTGACTTTGAAAATGATGAACACCAGACGAAAGGTCCATTTCTGGCTGATAGCCGGCGGTACCGGGGTGTAGAGGTGGTACCACAAGAATCCCAATAGACAGGCGAAGGCAGCCAGGCAGACCACTAGCACTATGGTGTCCATCGCTGATCTAAAAGAATAAAGTACCAGTATTTCACTGAATGAATTTGAAATTTGGCAACAAAGAAGTTTGAAATTTGGCAACAAAGAAGTTTGGCAACACGGATGTGGAAAGTCGGGGTAAATGTCGAAGTGCGCCACGTTAGGGAACACCACTATAATTATGAGTGTGCTGTATGGGGGTGATGGTTTAACTCCACCTGGCTTGAGGTTGAATGAAAAGTAATTCCGTGTCTCGTTTTGTTCTTGTCAAAATAATTCTGGCATGAACTGGTTAAAAATGGCAAAATAAAAATTAAAAATTTTTTTGGACGCAAAGGTGCATTTATGAACGGAACTTGCAATTAGGTGTCCTAAACTACACAATTACCAATAAAATGGCAAAATATATTGAAAATACACAACTTAAAAAAAAACTTAAGGAGTTAAGAAGTAAAAAAAGGAGGAAAAAAGAAGGCGCCGGCAGGCGGGAAAAAAGGAAGAGGGTGGACATGAGAAACTGGTTAATGGAAAAAATGTTGATTCAATAATTCATCAAAAGTTGAAAAGAAAGCACAAACCCTAGTACTAAAGTATAACTTAGCATTGGCAACTTTCCGCTTCCGCCACCACCGCATGACCACGCCCACCCAAATTGTGACAGTGTGACAGCTCGACAGTGACGCTAGACATAAGACAACCGCGGCATACTGCACAGTCTTAGAACGCAACAAAAACACTGAAAAAAGTGGTAAAGGCCTTACCTCTAATCCTGACAATCTGGACATCTAAAATACGCCCCTTTCTGGCCGCTTACATTTCCCTATTCCAAGAAATTACCCCCTTTTTCCCACGGCCAAAGTTCTGGTTTCCGTAACTTGTAACTTCTCCACCAGACTGCTACCCGGATTTCCTTCGTATTTGTGTTTGATTCATGTGAATGAAAAAGGGTACCATACACAGTGCGCCACAATTGGAAGAAGTCTGGGTTTCACGCCGTAATTCGCGCTTCAGGTCAATTCTTTTCGAGACTGGTACCCTTACAATGGTCATTGTGTAAACCGGAAAAACAAGTTGATCAGCCGATCAGCAGATGTGACATCGCATTTGTTCAAATTGTTGCACAACACGTAGGTAAAAACTATTTATATATTCCATGGCACCAGTAATTTGAGTTCATTTCGAAGGGGATCATGTTATAGCAAGGACTGATTTTCCATTCGTAAAGAAAGTAGGGCCTATTCCGAATTCAGTTCATCATCATTCATTGACATTGTGATTTGTGTTGTGAATGACAATAGGACCTAGGTAGGCCCCCCCTTAATTTATGCTTGTTTTTTTTTTTTTTTTTTTTTCGTGATCGATAGAAAAGTTAAAAATACTGACAGAAACTGTCAGACTGTAAAAAAAGGACCAAATATTTTTTGGACCTAATTATTACCACTGCATAGCCATAGGCCTATATAAATACATAAAGTCATAATGACGTCACGCTTTGTTTACACATGCACTTTCCTATGGGAGCCAGGTAAGGACGATTGGCTGGCGTCCATACATGTCATAGGAAAACGCTAGTCCGAAAATTTGGGACTCTCATCAATACTGTGTATGAGAGTCCCAAAACACACATGTAAACAAAGCATGACGTCAATTTATGTCTTTAGAATAGAGTAATTTCTTAAACTAGATTTTATTTTAAAGGGAATATACAACATTTGCAAACATCGAAAAATAAAACTACCAAGTTTTTGCGAAATACCTTAATAGGATGTTGGTAAATGACAGTCTAAAGCATCCTGTAAAATTATGGCACCTGGTATACTGTCATTTTCAAGAAAAGTGGTATTTTTGTATCAATTTCCAACGCTGATCGGCCGATCAGCGTTGGAAACAACTGGCTTTTTTTTCAAATACTGGCCCCAATTGACCATTGCACTTGTTTGCAATCGATTACAAACCTATGAACGGGTACGAGCCAGCTAGACTGGTTCCGTGACCTTACAATTCCCCAATGTATGTAAACAGCTCTGTTTCTTCTTATATGGAGTCAGGGAACCAGACTACAGGAAAATGATCGTTTTTCTTGGTTTTTATAGCATTTTCGAACCCAAAACCTCCAAAAAGTCAGTGTAACTATATTTGCTTTATATTTCCAACCCCCCAATTCCATCCATTTCTGAAAATTACAGCAAAAGCAAATGATGTATATTCCCTTTAATAAACCATATGGTGGACTACAGTAGCTAAACTGCACAACCATGACAACATATCACATGAAAATGAATATTCATATAAATTTCTAATTCACATTAATTTTGAGGTGAATGAAATATACTGAATTTTATTCCAGATTCATCATGAATCGTGTCAGCTGTCCGCACCACCCAGAAGCCAATCTCATCGAAGATTACCACGCGGGGGACATGATCTGCCCACAGTGTGGTCTCGTGGTTGTGGATAGGTAAAGAAATACAGTATTGTAGACGGGATACCAGTGTTGGATCACAAGTCATCAAAAATTACTGACCAACAAAAGCAACATACGTCTGTACATTGTTTATGAAATTATGTCTGTGAAGGGCAAAACCTAATATTGCATTGTAATTGGATGGCATGGGTGACGCAGTGCGTAACACGTTCGCCTCTCACTGCTGTGGCATGGGTTCGATTCCCGGCTCGGGTCACATGTGAGTAGAGTTGGTGTTGATTCTCTCCCGTGCCACGAAGGATGATTAACCCCCAAATTTGATGTTGTTTATCCCATGTTTGTCAGATGCATAGATGTCGGTTCCGAGTGGCGGACATTCAGTAACGACAAAGCCACCAGCGACCCGTCGCGTGTGGGCGCGGCCGAGAACCCCTTGCTTAGCGGCGGGGACCTGTCCACCATCATCGGCAAGCCCTCGGGATCATCCGGCTACGGGGAAAACGGCCAGGCCAAATATCAAAACAGGAAACAGGTAAACAAAACTGTAGTACACCAGACAATTACATCTCAGCCAAGTAAAAACAAAACATTTTCTTGAACATGCCACATTTGATTTGTTATAATTTCTCACCCATTTCACCTTTCCGTACTTCTCCAGGTTAGCAGTTCCGACCGAGCGTTACTGAGCGCGTTCAGAGAAATTTCGCACATGTCTGATCGCATCAACCTACCCAGAACAATAGTGGTAAGTGGCACTACTACTAAAATATACTTGCATTTATAAAGCGCTTGCGTTCACCAGTATGTCAAGGTGCTGCGTCATTATTAGCCTGCTCAATGGGCCATTGAAACATTCCAAAGACCATCTCAGCTCCCTGGGGAGTATACAGCTCGATACTGCCATTTTGACACAAAGCAGCTACAATCAATCACAATTAACCATCTCTGCCCTCACAGGTACCCATTTTACTCCTGGGTGGAGAGAAGCAATGAGTGACAAAGTGCCTTGCCCAAGGGCACACGCACCACAGTCCCAGGCTGAACTCGAACCCACAACCTGCAGAAATACCCGCAGACCACAAATTCAATGCTCCAGACCACGAGGCCACTGAGACAGTAAACTTTAACCTCAGTGGTTTCTGTGAAATTTTTCACAGGATCGCACAAACGGACTTTTCAAGCAGGTCCACGAGCAGCGTAGTCTAAGAGGACGAAGCAACGACGCCATAGCCGCCGCCTGTCTGTACATAGCTTGCCGACAAGAAGGCGTACCCAGGACTTTCAAGGGTAAGGCTTCATCCGAATCTCGCGTCTTGTTATTTTCAATTTTGCTTTACCAATTGCGTAGAAGCGTCCCAGGCTACCAGAACCGCCAACGCAATTTCAAAATCACTGGAGCGTATTTTCCGACTTTTATAGACAATTCCATCAATTGTTTTCTCTTTCTAGAAATCTGCGCCGTGTCCCGTGTTAGTAAGAAAGAAATCGGTCGATGCTTCAAGCTCATTATCCGAGCGATCGAAGCCAACGTCAGCCTTATCAACAGTGGTGATTTTATGGTAAGTGACAAAAACAAAACCATCGAAGAACAAAAAGCAAATTATTCAAATTCAAATTTCCCAGAAAAAAATCTATGATACAAGTCATGAATTGGAGTACCCACTGCTATATCAGATTCGCACCAGCCAACCGAATCCCGCAAGCTGAGTGGTTAGACGTCTCCACTTGTAAGCAGGAGGTCGCAGATTCGAGTCCCACCCAAGCAAACTTGTCAACTTGTTCTTACAATCTCTCGGACAACATCGAGTAAAAAGAAGTTCGTTTAAGGATGAGTCCTGGTCTCAGCATTTACTTCTAGAAATTTACTTGTAGAAAAAACATGTTGGATTTTTGCATCGTCATGATTTGATTGATTTTGGATTTATTTTTTGCAGTCGCGTTTCTGTTCCAACTTGAGTCTACCAACCTCCGTCCAAAAAGCGGCAACCTACGTGGCTAACAAAGCAGTGGAACTGGACCTTGTCCCTGGGTAAGAGGTTGATAGATTTTGGTCGCCATTTTTGAAAATTAGGCTTCATCTACAGCTCTTTAAGGTTACCTTTAATTTACAAAGAAGGGACTCAAGTCTGGATCCCTGACTTCAGCATGCTTATTTGTTGTATCTGTGCAGGCGGAGTCCCATCTCGGTGGCAGCTGCCGCCATCTACATGGCATCTCAGGCATCGAAAGAAAAACGCTCACAGAAAGGTAAAAGTCAACGTTTGTTTTAAACTATTCGTAACCTCTGCACCTTAAACATTTGCTGGAAAATGTTTTTGAAATGGAAATGAATTGTACACAGGAGAATATGTTGGAAATATACATTCCTCTGAAATGTATAGAAACTATGAGACGTCCCTTTTTGGTAAACAATTTTTACGAGGGTCTTTACAATTCCAGTACATGGCTCTTAATACATTTGCCGGAAAAATTGTTTTGAATGATACCGTTTTTTGGTTTTTCTACTTTTTTCCCAAGAAATTGGCGATATTGCAGGCGTGGCAGAAATTACAATAAAGCAGTCGTACCGTCTGATGTTCCCCAAGGCAATGGATCTATTTCCAGAAGACTTCAAGTTCGTCACCAGGGTTGAGGACCTACCTGCGCCATAATGGAACATTCCTTATCCCCCTCCTGTCCCCAGGCCTTCCCCCGCCCACAAATTGGACTTTTTGTGTAACTAGCAAAAAAACAAACGTAGAGCCTTTCCAAAGTACAAGTGCTGAAATGTGTAACGTGTTGTATTTAGTTAATGTGTAGATTTTACAAATGCTGAGTGCAATGGTAAGAATAATTTCAGATGGAATGTTCCATTCCACAAGATGAAAATGGAACATTCCATCCATCACTGTATGAAATTATTCTCTCCACTGCATCTGATTGGTCAGTGCCACCCAAAAGTGTGACCGTCGAATGGAACTTCCATTTTTGTTGTGCGGCCGAGCCGTGCATTAGGATGGTTATTTATTTTAAAAAACTCAAAACTCCCAGACAGATTTCTTCGTGAAGACATAATCCGGGTAGTTTATTTGTTTTGTGATGTAAAAACACAAACAAAAAACCCAAAACCCACAAAGTCTAGTTCTATCGAATACAATTCAACTTTATTAAAGTACAACTGCTTACATCTGAGTAAAATAAAGAGAAATTACTACCTTACGTTTATAACAAAATATTAACCCTCTGATAATACTATTATTTTCTCTCTGTTAAATGTAATTTCTGAACAGTTTGAAAACTGAATGTCACATTTCTTTGTCACGATTGTTTCAATTAAAGTTATATAAATGTTGTACACATCAGGTATGGTCTTTTAAGAATTATATTTTCCCCAGCTTGTCCACTTTCTCTTCCCATAAATATTCCATAATTAATTTTTTTGTTTTAGTATATTGGTCCACGTGAAAATAAGGATTTTTGGCTTAAATTCAGATATTGTTTAATCAATCTAATAATTTAGATTAAAACCAATTTTATGATTAATATATGAACAATCAACTACCACATGATTTTCATCAAATTCAATTCCATTTTTCCTCTAGTGCCTTATAAACAAGGCAACAAAAATATCTTTAAAACAGGTATTTTACACTTTAAGACCACCATATTTACTTTCTGGGTAACACAACTTTTTTATAACAGTACTACAACACACTATATAGTTTATTTTTACAACAAAAATCAAAACAAAAACAGCACATTGAAGAGCTGAAAACCAACCAAAAATTTACAAAGAGCACTACTGCCATTTAAAACTAGGCCCTTTCCAAAAAAAAGTAGAAGTTCACAGTTTATCAAGCACTATTTTGTCTTCAAAAGAAAATCACCAACTGCAACGGACGATACAATTTTAAAATTTTAGTCATTTCATGACGGGAATGCTTATTCTAGGAAAATAACTCCAAAAAGTACTGTAAAATATATGGCTTTAAAAGCCTGTTTTGTGTCCTTATTTGGGGACATGAGCTGCTCATTTTTGTTGTTAATCATGCAAGAATACTGTTTAAATATTTCGACAAAATTTCAGGAACAACTTCTAGAGTCTTTACATATTACAGCAAAATTTCTCTAACTCGATATAGAATTGGCAGAACTGCATTCCATGCGCTAGTTTTGAGTTTCATCCCGCCGAAAAATAGATTCGTTTTCTAAAATACTTTTTTCCAGCTTTGGAGGAGGCATCTACCAAAATTAACTAATTTTAAGATCAAGATAAAGCGAACTCAAAACCAATATTGAAAGCTACAAATTGACAGTAACACAAATATTGGTTTATATGTTAGATAGGCATGCCTTCAATGAGTAGATCACTTTAAATCAATCACGTGATGCGCATAACTATGCATCATTTGCATAATTTGTATAATTAAAATGTAACCTGGTTTACATGTTAGATAGGCATGCCTTCAATGAGTAGATCACTTTAAATCAATCACGTGATGCGCATAACTATGCATCATTTGCATAATTTGTATAATTAAAATGTAACCTGGTTTACATGTTAGATAGGCATGCCTTCAATGAGTAGATCACTTTAAATCAATCACGTGATGCGCATAATTATGCATCATTTGCATAATTTGTATAATTAAAATGTAAAATATCAAAGTACATATACCAGTACACCCCACTAACACATTTGTATTGATCTTGGCAAATATTAAAAAAAAAAAAAAATCAAAATTAAAAAAAATCTGACTTTTTTTGGCAACTTTACTCACTTTTTAGAGGAGCAGGTCACATGACGTTTAACGCCCCAAAAATATATATTTCAGATCAATACTTTTGGCAATTCATAAGTTGTTTTGGTTAATGTCTGTAATCACAAATTCATCAGAAAAAAATAATCAATTTCGGCCAATCACAAGCTTCCAATTTCAGGTCAAGGGTCACACAACTGCCAATCAGGACATCACAAATTAATTTCCTCTAAATATTTACACAGATGCTAACAAAGTCCGTATTCAATCGAAGAAATAATACCAAATACTTTTTAATGAGTCTCTCGACCTTTCCGAACTTTTCATAAATTTATTGTGTTTAAAACAACCCCCAAATTTATTAAAGTACATCTGAATGATCTGCTTACATCTGAGTTGAACAGAAATTATTACTTTATAAGTCACTTGTACCAAATACAGGATTTCTCTGTTTTGGAAATAGTCGGAAAATAGTTTTATTGACTTCTAATTAAACTAAGTCTTCTTGGAAACAAATACTATTAATTTTTGTCTGATACTTCTCACATTGTACCACATGTCTGCAATTTAATGACCGCTTTCGCACCCTACCTGTCTTACGCAACCAAATGTATTTCATTTTGCACACATAACATGTGATGCGATCAGGCTACATGAGTCGTTTGTCAGGAATTTTCATTTGGAGATTCAGGCCAAAATAGGGCCACTTCATCACATCACTTCATCACATTTCTTGGATTTCCGACTTCCATAATTTTTGAACTAAAGATGGTACCTGCATGCAGTTTTCACAGCAGTAATGCTAAGATTGTGCTCTTTTCAAATCTGTAAAAAAAAATTGACAAACGACTCATTTAGCTTGATCACATCACATATCGTGTCCAAAATGGAACATTTCCTTTCTGTAATGCGAGCAGAATTAACCAATATGTGGTCTGTGGTTCGAGTGAATAGGAAATAATGGTTTCCTTTGGGACGGGAAATCAATCAACAACTTCCTTGTTCTTTTATTTCCTCCTCAAAATAAAACAAGATACTTTCAAAATAACTTGGGGAAATACGTCAAAATTTGAAGGTTGCAACACACCTTAGTAGGAATGTTCCAATTTTGTCAGATTTTGTCAGGGAAAAAGTCACTTTCACAAGCACTGCATTTTGCGGATTTGTTTTTGGAAAGGAACTAAGCAATGTATAGACTATTTTGGTGCCATCGGATAGATGACATTGAGCAATTTGGGTGAACCTAGGGCCATTAGTCAATTAGCAGTTGGTTCGTGACGCAACTTACATCTGCGCGCTATCAACATGCGAACGCCTCCAGTCAAACGATCGTCAAAATGTCATTATGAACCTTTTGGGGCTGGTTCCCCACTGTGCTTTACGATGCGCAGCTATGGGTAACCAGGGAGGCAATCATGCCCTGCAGTTCGATTCCAAATAGTTGACTAGCGTAGTCCAACCATCCTTCGCTTGTGCGAAGTTAGTCGGACTATGGTTAGTTAAAGTGCACGCCCGAACCATGGAGCTATGCTTTTGCGCAGGTGACACGCGCACACTGTATGTTCTTTCAACCAATAGACCATTATCATGTTGCGGCCGTCTTGATTTTTCCCATTCAAATCAATGTAACCAATGAAAGCTGGAAGGAAAAATAGTCTGGTTCCTTTTTGCACACCAAACATTATCATTCAGTACTGTTATTGGATACAGGGAACATGACTGAAATGGTGGCAGCATGATAAAGGTCTATAGGGTAGCAGACCAGTAAATAAACTTCCATAGACCCCAATGGTAAATGCTCCCACTTCAAAAATTCAGGAAAAATACTCACAACTCTCCAAGGTGTTCGAGACACACATCAAATTAAAGCTTATTTCATCATCTTTCATTTTCTTTTCAATTTTCGGGGGGTCAACTGATGACTTTTAGGAGAAATTTCCATCTGAAGAATGATCACCCCTGAAAATAGTCCTGAAGCCCATCACCATTTTGAAAAACGATGCCTACACTCTATTGCAAAATAGAGCGCTTTTAGGGTCCAAATTACATCCAAATTACACAGAACTGCAAGCTTCCAGTCCTGTGCACGGTTTCCACCCATATTTTTTACATACCCTCAAGTTCATGGCCCACAGCATGCTCAAATACCGAAGATTTTGAGGGCATGCAAATCGTGATTTGGCCGGCGCAGGCAATTTCAGACCGATTTACTGGTCTGCACCCATAGGGTTACTGGAACTTAATAAGCACACACCTCGACATTCAAAAATACATATGAGTCGTGCAAGAGAACTTCTGATTATTAAAAATCCCTTCAATGTGTAAAACGGCCCATAGTCGATAAAGTTACGTACGGGTAGGGCTGACGACTGACGAGAAGTTTAGAGCCAGATGTGTCTGGTCAGTGTGGATATTTGGCAAGGCATCTGTTTAGAGCGATCCTCTGTGGATTCCATCCTGGCCACCTGATTGTTGACTCTTACGAGGAGATCCATCAGATGCTCTTCCTTGTATCGCTGCTTGGAGATCTCGCAAAGTTGATGGATGAACCATGAACCATCCTCTTCGTTACGCCAAGCCTTAGTTCCTGTATTTATTTGGGGGGGGGGGGAGGGGGGGGGGGAGGAAAATGAAAAAAAATTGCAGAGTGCTGTGATGTCATGTTCTGGAGCAGGGAACTTAAAGCCATATTTAGGATCAATTGCTTTTCATGCATTTTGTTCGTTTCCAATAGTAACATAAGCAAAATCCACAGAAGATTATTCAAAACCTAACCTGTTGAAGTTTCAGCTCAGTGGATGATACACTTTTTTACGAGAAAACGGTGAAAAACCATGCACAACCTTTTTGATCATAAAGACGATTTCATCGATAGCGTGCTTTACTAAATAAATCAGTCGACTGACTGATCGTTGGAAATCTCCTACATTTCTTGATTGTTTTTTTTAATGACAGCAAGCCAGACGGAATAAATTCACGGGGTGTTTAGTACCAGTACAATTCTTAATAGCCGAATAGATTTGAATACCTTTGGTGGTGGCGTAGGATATCAGAACGTCGGCATTGACGGGGCGCGTGAGGGAGGGCAGGCCAGGCTCACCGTCCTGGTAAGAGCGCCGCTGTCGATCTCCCGTCAAATCGTCGGACGAGTCGCCCCTCGGTGAACGACATGCCTGAATGATGAACACTTTCGGTTTGCCTGCAATGAAGATTTTGAGGGAAAAAAAATGGGTCTTACTCTTCACTGATGTGGGTTAATAGTAGATGGGGCTTTGTCACAATCGCAAGAGCTTTAGTGAGAAAAACGCATCGCATGCGCGCACTGGTTCGCGCATGTATGGCGCAAAGCACGTATTGCTAAATCCATGCATATGTGCACAGACCTGTGGTGTCTTCGTGCCAGGATCAGGCACTATCGCGATGCCTTGGAAAATCCCTCCAATTGGTCTCCCAAACCCTGTATTTGAGTCCATCACAAGTCCGGCCAAAAGTTCATTGCAATTCATGTGACTAGTAATACATGTATGTGATGAACAGTAACAAAGATTGTGACGTTTCATCAGTTGCATAGCCTGCGAATTGACTTGAGACTGGAGGACTTGTGATGGACTTGTGAAGGACTTGAGATGGACTTGTGATGGACTTGTGATTGACTTGAGATGGACGTGTGATGGACTTGTGATGAACTTGTGATGGACTTGTGATGGACTTGTGATTGACTTGTGATGGACTTGTGATTGACTTGTGATGGACTTGTGATGGACTTGTGATGGACGTGTGATGGACTTGTGATGGACTTGTGATGGACTTGTGATGGACTCGAGATGGACTTGACCTTTGTTTGACCTTTCAACTGACCTTCAAACTCTTTCAGCTGATCTCCCATAAACGGCGCTGTCAGATCCTCTTCTGTAATGCTCGTGTCATCTACCATCATAATGCGTTCCTGTGGGAAACCAAAACGGCAAAAACTTAACTCTGGTCATTACCGTCAAGGCAAATAGGATCATTTGCATTTATCCCAAAAGTAACCTACCATTGGATATGTTGGGCTGGTAATACTGAAAAGAAAGTGAAAAAGTCATTGACGACACTGTAAAACGAGCTAGTAGGATAATCGGTGAGTGTGTACCATCAATGGACACGGTCTACAATCAACGGCTGCGTGACAAGCTACAACTGGTGTGGGGAGATGCTGGTCATTCTCTCCACAGCCAATTTATGGGTAACGTTATTCCACGCAGCGGTAGACTGAGACCAGTGGTTGTGCACGCAAACTGATATCCTATATCTATCACAGGCAGGGCCATTAAAAATATAGTCCATCATTTGTAATTTGTGCATTTTGTTCGTTTGAAGTGTTCAAAATCTAATGAAGGATACTGAACAACTAACCTGATGAAGTTTCAGCTCAGCTTCAGCTGTATATTCCGAGAAAAACAGCATTCTAGGATCTCAATTTCAAATCAAAAGTTGCTGAATCATTGTTTGAATTGCAGCTATACGCGATGTCGTGCACTGATCCGACGAATTATAACAACTGCGCGCGCCTGTGAGTCGTGCCAATACTTGCGCGCGCTGCGCTGAATAACAAAACGAACTACTAATTTAAATTTTCCTACGGTGCGTCTTGAGACACTAAGTAAGTTGTATTTGAATTTGGGCAAAACAAAGGAAGTGAGCTGATAGGAATGATTTTCGAAGTGTAGTAGCATGTCGGAAGTACCGATACATACCTCAGTCAGTTTCTTGTTATCTTTCTTCACAATGATCTGCTCACCGTGACTGCAAATGATGAGGATAAACTTGTTAAACTTGCCCCTCCGCAGTTTGTCCTTCGTTTCCTCTAACACCTTCGCAAGTTTGGGCTTTGTCAGATCTTCGCACTTGACGAATTTGTAATTGAGCTCATCGTCAAATAGGTCCTCAATGTTTTTGGAGTCCTTTTCGCAACCTGAAAAATCAAGGGAAAAAACAAAGGAAAAAGTGTTAATAACAGGTAGCTACTCTTAATTTATCTATAGGCCATAAAGACGTATACCCCACACTCTTCCAAAAACTTGAGTTTTTTCTTGTAGTGAATTTTAAATGTGTATGTTTTGTAAAAAAAATAAATAATAATACTTAATTCCGATTTTGGGCTTCTGCAACCCTCTGAAAAAGGGTTTCCGATTTGTGCACAAATGAACCCGCCCTGCGAAAGCTGAATTATTGTCTGCCAGCCAATAATTCAAATTTCACGAAGAAATCATTCCACAACTAAAAGTTCGTGGATTTTTTTATTCAATGTCACATTCAAAAGTGAATTACATTGATATTGCAAGGAAATTAGTGATTGAAAAAAAAAAAAGCATCTACTTTTCAAGGTGAAACTAAAAAATAAAACGGGAAAGACAAATTTAATCTACTGCGTAACATGTACTTTACCAATGCGACGTAGTCGTGGCGTGTCCACGAAATTGTTGATGAACAGAACAAAGCCTCTGCCATCTGGGTAGCGCGGGCGATCGTCTGTTTCTCGACTGACATCAACGATGTCCATAGGGGCACCACAAGGCATAGCATCATCTTAAAAAATAACAGAAACATTAAAACAATCTTAAGAAAACAAGACTAGGATTGCCTACTTCAGCTGGACCCGAAAGTCTCGGTTTAAGATTTATTTTTTATGACCAGTGATGTACTTGAGTCCATCACAAGTCCATCACAAGTCCATCACAAGTCCATCACAAGTCCATCACAAGTCCATCACAAGTCCTCCAAAGTCCTCACAAGAATTAGATTGCAAATTTATTACACATGCAACAAGGTTGTTGCACAAATCCCATGCATGATGTTAGGCATTGTTTCGTGAAAATTGGTGGCCGTTTTGATCTGTTTTTGTGCACGTTGAAGTACTTTCTCCAAAAATACCAAATTCAGTTTGAATAAACCAATTCAATAAATTCTGTTCCATTTTCCGCTAAAGGGGAAACTCAGCCCCCCCTCCCCCCAACATCGGAACATTTCTGTTCCAAACTAAGCACTCGAAAAAAAGAAGAAAACAAAATTGAAAGGTTTCAGATGGTTTCTTGCCCTTACCCAAACTGCTTTGCGACGTCATCCTCATATTATTGTTGTTCTTGGAGGGTGGTGGTCTTTCCGTCTCCATGGCGACCGCACTCGTAAAAGCCGACTCCTCATAATCTCGCTTTTTAGAAAGACCTACAGGGCAAATTTTGAAAGACAGAAATTGTTGCCAATTGTGTTTCTCAACAATGAGAGCATACACATGTCAGAGCCATACTTACAAGAAATCTATTGTATGGACAACATACATACAATAAATCTGAATACTTTAATATACAGCGTTTTTGACTAAGATTGGGGCCCTTTATACATTATTATATTACCCCTGATCACCGGGCCAATGAAACATTCCAAAGACAATCTCAGCTCCCTGGGGAGTATACAGCTCGATGCCGCCAGTTTGATGCGAAGCAGCTAAAAATCCATCACATAACCATCTCTGCCCTCACAGGTACCCCTTTTAATACTCCTGGGTGGAGATCGCAATGAGTGACAGGCTGGACTCGAACCCACAACCTGCAGAATTACCCACAGACCATGAGTTCAATGCTCTTGCCTCTTGGCCACCAAGCCACAGCTTAGGTACAACTCTGTTACGACTGAAAATACAAAAACAAAGGTTGATTTTTTTGCGATCTTAACTTACCCTTTTCTCTCAAAGCAGATTCCGTTTTCTGGATGTACTCGATTAAATGATCCTGGTCAATTTTACTCAAAATCTTTTTCAGCTTTTCGTAGTTACCAACTTCGATGATGCGTTTGTGCTCCAACCGCTGGAACAATTCTGCCAGGTTCTTGATTTTCTCCAGTTCGCCTGGCTTCAAGTTGCCGAATTCCTTCGCCTTTGTCACCTCTTTCAATTCCTGGAAATTGTCGCTGGTCATTTCACGACTCAACGCGAGGAATAAATCAGTGTGCGCGGTCGGCTTTCCTGCAAATGCCATTTTTCAACACGTAGGTTGCTTAGCAATACCTGCAAGTGAAATTTAGCAGGATAAAAAAATTGCATGTATTTATACCCAAAAACCAAAGAGTAGTAGACAATTACTCGCAACTTAATATACTTGTGACATCATGATCCTCGTCAGATCTAAATTTTGAAGAAAATAACATGTTTAGAATGCCCATATATATTCCACGGAACCATTAATCCAGCATTGCAGGATGTTGGTTTTTCCCCAAATAGTGTGTGCCCGTCTAAACATGTTGCAGTTTGCTTCCTCATTGTGTATGGGACGTACTTCCTGCCCAAGTGTGTCAGTTTTTGATCCCACCGGTTCCGCACTTCCAGAAAAAGTTTCTCTCGTTACGAAACTGTGGCTATATATTATAGTTACGTAACGGTAAGCCATAATGCATTTTCTGAAGGGTGATAGTTACAGAATTGCAACATAACATCCATAAATAGTACGTTTCAAATTTGTTAACCGACTGAAACGGATCGGTAAATCTGAGCGGTGCATGCTTGTTTTGAGCGCTGTAGGGTCTGTGTTACATTCCTCATGAGAGTTTTTTCAAATTTAGTTTCCCCAAAATATCAATTTGAAATCAGCCAATGGCTGACTGTATACATATTCAGGTACACTCAACCAAAAAAGAAAGTCCCCTTTTAATACTTCTTTGTCTTACTCAAAAACTACTGGGCACATCTTGCTCAAACTACGTCTAATCAGTACAGAAATTCCTTAGCAATCCAGCCATACTCTTAGTTTGGCCCAAAACAGTGATAATGTGTACACAATTATGCAATTTATGACAAGTGGTCCTGAAAAAAAGTTGCACTTTTGTGTTCGTGCGAGGTGAGTGGAACCACAACTTGCACGTACACAAAAGTGCAAAGTTTTCTGTATCATTTGTCATAAATTATTATCACTGTTTTGGGCCAATAAAGAGTATGGCTGGATTGCTAAGGAATTTCTGTACTGATTAGTCGTTATTTGAGCGAGAGGTGCTCAGTAGTTTTTGAGTTAGACAAAAAAGTATTGGGGGGGACCTTTCTTTTTTGGTTGAGTGTAGTTTTACGACCCCTCTTTCATGTTCTTTCCAAAATGATTTTTCCTGCAACCTCTGCAGTTTTTTACAATTCTATTTAAGGTTTTCCCGCACATTTTAAAACTTTTTTTCAGTCGAATTCATAAACGGTTAACTTCAATTTCCTTTTGAGAAGACTGGAACGCGCAAATGCTACAATGAATTTAGACACTGGTCATTCCAAATGATCAATTGTCAATTAATTTCAACATTTGTCATGTTTGTCGATTCAATGTCGTCAGATTTCAATGGAATTCGTCTCACTTAATGATTATCTAAATAATGTAAGGATTAGTCATTGTTCAATCAATTTCAAGTAATTTTCGATCGAATTCATCTGACAAATGTGCACCCTGGTATACCATGCACAGACGTATTTGGCATGGTTTATTGCAAGAGAAGAAATTGAAGGTCCAAAGGACAAGAAGAACTGAAGTGACTGTTTCTGAAAAATTTTAAAATATGAATGCATTTTACTGAAGTAATAATTATTGGCCTTCTTATTTCTTGCACGAAATGGAAAGTGTGCATTTTCATTTGTATGTGACGCATAAAATTGTCAAAGAACTAAAACAAAATAAGTAGGGCCTATAGATTACAATGAAATTTATACAAAATTGATTGCAAAATGACAAAATTGATTCATCTATTGTACGGACATGACGGATATGGGCACTTGCAGATGACGAAATTGAATTGTCTTTCACAAAGAAGTACGGCTTATGAAATTGTTTCAACAAAGTGCAAAAAAAAAATGAGCGAACAAAGACGAAATGTAACCGAACATTTACTTCAATTCTATATAAGATTGAGATTAAATACATGAAATATGATGAAAAAGTGGCTTCCTGTAAACAACATTATTTATGTAGTGTGTCACCCCACTCCCCCCCCCCCCCCCCCAGTTGGTGTTCCCAACCCCGCCCCAGTTTGCGCGCTGCTCCCCCCCCCCCCCCGACCCCGACCACCAAGTCCAACGTTTAATTCCCATCTACCATATGCTATCATGGCTATGATCTAGTAAATCGACCGGGCCGACGCGTCAAGCCAGGGCCTAAATTTGGTTAGCTCATTAACTTACCTTCACATAAATCCTTCAATCTAACAGTAACAAGGAACTTCTGACTGACTTTGAATGTTGCAATGTTGACTACAACACTAAAAAGAGCACATGTTAAATGAAATAGTGATGTAGTTAGCCAGGAATAAATGTGGGGAATTTCCTGTTTTGCCAAAAAAACACCACAGTTGTTTTGAAGGGCGCCACCACTCGACTGGGATCAGCCAATTAATTACACCGAAAAGAAAAAAAAAATGGAGGGAGAAGAAGGCGATTTGGTTGCTGCTGCCATAATGGCAATGCAACAAACAGACACGGAAAACGACCCAGAATCCACCATTTTGCAAGTCGTGGCCCAAGCAGCGTGTCCAGGGGACATTAAGATGGAAAACCAGATCGTGGTGCAGTCAGCGGGCGAGATAATCGTGCAGCAACACCCGGCAACTGCGCTGCCGAATCTCCAGAGTCAACAACAGCTACAGCACGCTACCGCGGAGTCGGTTGAGCGAGTACAGGGCGAAGTGGTCGTGGGGGCCTCTGCGCCGCAAGACCCGGTGGCCATGGCTGTCGACATGCACGAAGTCAACGTCGAGGGAATGGAAAGTGTACAGATGACATGTGCTAGTGAGCAGGTAGTTGAGGGGGCGATACAGCAAGGAATGGCTGAAATATTATTGCAACATGATGTAAACGATGTACGCACTTTTTAAATAAGTTAGGCCCCCCCCAATCCTTTTTTTGGAAAGAATGTTGCATCCTGACGCTGCTTTTTTCTTCATATATCATGTATATCATCTCAATAAAGGTCAGCTATTGTAAAAAAAAAACCCAGATATTCATGAATCTGGGACTGAGAAACATTTCAATTTTGTAAGAAAATTTTCTTGACTCTCCATACGCTTTGTACACAACTGCTGAAGAGTGAAGTAACGTCAGGTTGCAACATTATTTCCCTTTTTCCGCAAATTCAGATTCAAGTATTTATTTTCAGGAGATAAAGAAAGCAGATTAATGCACGCATGATGTGGTACTGCATACTGGTAACTGTAATTCCATCATCCTAATCTACATGTAATTAATAATTATACAAAAGAAGATGGTAACTTTTGTTGGCACAAAAAACCCATGGTGCTATAAAGAATTTTGCATCTAGGCTACTTCAAAACAAAACAAAAACTTTTGTTGATACCTCATTACATGATTATGATTTTGCATACATGTGGCGAACTGTTCATCTTTGTATTGCGAATAGGATTATTGAGAATGTTTTTGAAGGCAGTCAACACAGCACCCGCGTGAAGTCAAACTAGATTATGATGCCTAGCGCCGTAGCGGCGATGTCCGGTCAACTTTTCTGAGAGTCTGAGATATTCTGCAACTGTGTCGTTTTTAATAACTTTCAAATATGGCTGGGTAAAAATGGTTCGTTAACTAATGGGTCCTTTTTTGTTTTGTTTGTTCTTTTTCTTTTGCAGTTGGTCGTCCCAGTAACCCCGCTAGAAGTTGCCGAAGAAGAACCCAAAGTCGACGTTGAAGGCATTGACGAGAACGTCCGGAAGATATGCGAGAAGCACCTCAATGATGTGAAGGAGGTAAGAATCAGCCCTGTCATGCCTGTCTGGTTCCCCGAGAGGAAGCACTGCCAATAATCAGGGAAACACTAAAACAAAACAATAAATTGTTATGCTAGTTATAAATACAGCACTTTCCATCATTTCAACAATCTCAAGCACCCAAGGTGTCGAGCAGTACGCGCCCACCACTACCTGCTCTCTCACCCTGGGCCAAGTTTGGGCAAGGACCATTAGTCGACTAGTGGTTGATTTGTGACGTACCTTACGCCTGCGCACTGATAGCAACGTGCGAACGTCTCTAGTCAAACGCTGGTCAAAATGTCATCGCAAAACGTCTGGATCCTGGCTCTCTGCTAGCGTTATGAATGCGCGAGGCTATTGGTTACCAGTGAAGCAACCAACCCCAGTAGGCTGGTTCCAAATAGTCGACTAGCGTAGTCAACCACCGTCGACTAGACAGAGTTCGGGCAAGCGTTAGTCGAACTATGGTTAACTATAGTCCTTGCGCGAACTTGGCCCTGGCTTTGGATCATTTGCATGTGCAAGATTTTTGAACACGTATGTGAATGAAGAATAGTCTGGTGCCTGTCTGTGCGTTACATTAGTGTTTGTTTTTGTATGCGGTGTCTGGGGTAAAAACAGAATCAAATCGCGCGCCATGAGTTACGAAAACACGATTGTTTTCGGGGTAAAAATGTTACAATCATGTCCCGCCAATATGCAGGATCACATTTCATATGAGCAATTGGGAAAACAAGGAGTTTTTTTGAGAATGCGTGGACGTAATAATAACAATAATGATTGTGAAAGCACGTACTGTATATTGTAAATAACAACACCAAGTACACGATATGAATCCATTACTAACCAATTACGGTATCGAATCCGGGTACAGGAAGAAGTTTCCTATCCCGGGCTTACTATTGGAAACGAGGTTGGAAATAAAGTAAGCACTGGGGACGAGGTTGATAATTCCCTCATTCGTCAGGATGCAGACCAGTAAATAAACTGCCATAGACCCCAATGATAAATGCTCCCACTTCAGAAACTCAGGAAAAATTATCAAAACTCTCCAAGGTGTTCGAGAATCGAGACACACATCAAATTAAAGCTTATTACATCATCTTTAGTGTTTTTCAATTTTTTTTTTTATCGGAAGATGATCACCCCTTTAAATAGTCCTGAAGCCCATCGCCATTTTGAAAAACAGTGCCAATATCGGAAAATGCACAGCTCTATTTTCAATACAAATTTGGCAACATTTTCCTTTGAATTGATGTCAGGTTGACAAAGACTACATACGCGGCTTTCACAAGGGCCCCGGTATCAGCTTTGAGGAGTTCCTCAGCAAGTACTTCAGCGCGACAGGGACGTCCTTTGTGGCCGTTAGCAACAGGAGCCGGACGATGCCTTTCACGGGGCAGCAACGGCAGTCCCGTTACTATGGCAAATGCGAAGGTGAGTTTAGAAATATGTTCAGTTTTGGTAATTGTCTATCGACTTTTCCTTAAGAACGAACCAGACATCTAGCAAGTGAATATAGTTACAATCAGAGACCATGGAGCAAATTGGGAGGCGTGTTCCAGTTGTTTTCTTGAACTTGTATCATTAAAACAATGGAAGGCTTAATTTTTTTTTTAGGTTGGTTTTGAACATATGGTTTCTAAAATCCAAATTAAATTCAAATAAAATTTTCAAAATTTGTTTTTTAATCCCACCACTAGGTTGAGTGTATATTTCTAAATTGTAAATGTGTTTATTTTTTAGGTCGAATACGTTGGGAAGCTAAAGGCGGCACCCTCCCGATTGAATGCTGTGGTTATCCTTTCAAGATTGAAGGCTCCATATATCTGCATTGCTTACATGGGCCAAAGAGAGTAAGTTAACATGATGGTGTGCAGTGTTAACCATCGCCTAGTCTTTTGCACTTCACAACCCTTCCAGATTTGCAAAACCATATTTGCACAAAGAGTTAGCGCCCACACTTTAATTTCTGTGAAGTTAAATTTCTGTGAGGTATTGAACACTTCAAATCCCTGTGTAATTTGTTTGCGTGGTTAAGCTCGGGACAAGCAGACAGATTCAGCACGCTTCACTGCTCTCGTGGAATATCTAGGGAGGAATGGTAAACTGTAGCTCTTGACAGTAGATTCGGACAAAATTTAATTCCAGGCATGCACTTTTTTTGCAAATCTGCTGAGTTCCTTGTTTCTTTTACACAAACATGTACTTCTCATGAATGCCATTACAAATTGAAAAATACTGTACAAAGTCTTGAGTGGTTTGGACTTCACTCGTTTTTTTGAAGTTCCCAGTTGGGTCATTCTATAAATTTGGGATCCAAAGTGTGACATTTTCCCCGTCCCTGTTACCTTGGTACTCTGTAATTTGCCATTCAAGCACCATTAAGAATGACTTCAAATGATTGTTTATTTGTTGGGTAGGTAGTTTGCTATTCATAATCACTCTTGGAGGATGACTGCATTAAGGAGTGCATCAGAATTATACAATCGTAGATGTCAGATGTAACAGGGACGGGAAATAAGTGGACCCCAAATTTATAGAATGACCCAATTGCATGTCTGTATTCACAACTTTCCTTTGATGATAAAAGTGGCACTTTTTTGTATTGAAACAAAATTGTACATTGTCTCTGTTAACCATCCCAGTCATATGGTACAAAGACATGCTTTTCTATTAATGTTTTTTACAGGACTTGCGTAAGAAGGTGCCAAAGCCCCCAAAAGTCGGTGGCAGAGGTCGCCCCAGCAGGACGAGCAACAAGAAGCTTGAGTGCCCTGCTGCTATCCAGGTCCGAGAGATCAGCATGTACACAGACGAGCGTTATTCTTTGGCTAAAGAATTCAAGAATGGCAGCAAGCTGCGGTTTGAGAAGCATCGCATCCTGAGGCAGATCCGAGAGGATGAAGGCAACGGAGAGGAGATGACCATGGCTCGGAGGTTGTACATCAAGCTGCCCTACGTCCGTGTCCACTCCTCCCTGCATCCCATCGGGGAGAACTCCCAAGCCATCGACTACCGGGTCTTGCAGAAGCTCAAGCAGCTGACTGCCAACAACATGACCAACATCAACGAGATCAAGAAATGCCTGAAACACTACGTGGATGACGTCCTCTTCAAACACAACACCTTGGAGAAAAAGCCAAAGCCAGGCAATCGTAGGTTCTACCCATCCCCGACAGATCTCCAGAAGCATATCGCTAGTGCCCAGCCTGAAAAAGAGGAAAACACAGATGTTTTGGAGGAGAAGATCAAAGAGTGGTTTTCCAAAGGGATGGGAAGGATTATATACCGGCCTCACAAGGCGAAGCCGGAGCAGTCCTTCTTGTTCGTTCATCAAGAGAAGTGGCAGCAGCGGTTGATGGAGCGCTATGGCAGCGATTTGGTTATGCTAGATGCCACCTCCAAGACCCACACGATCATGTCAATGTCATCACCGATGTACACCCTGTGCATCCACACCAATGTCAACTTCATTGTGGTTGCCGTCTTCGCTGTCGAGAAGGAGACAGTTGCCAACATCAAGGAGGCTCTTGGGGTGATCCGCGCCTGGAATCCATGGTGGTGCCCAAGCTCCTTCATGGTTGACAAGTGCAGCACTGAAATCAATGCCGTCAAGGAGCTCCTGCCTGATGTCCGCATCTACATCAGCGACTACCACAGGAGGCAGGCTTTTGCAAGATGGATCGGAAGGAAGGAATCAGGGCTTGATGCAGAGCAGCAGAAAATGGTCACGATGCAAATGGACAAGATCGCAGAAGAGCAAAACCAGACTCTGTACAACTGCGCCAAGAGGGAGCTCTTGAGTAATAAGATCGTGGCAGAGAATGAAGAGTTCCTGGATTACTTGCAATCGGAGTGGTTCTCGTGCCCAGAGAAGTGGGCCCATGCGTACCGCGACTACGCCATTGACAACCTGATCAATGTCAACAATGGCGAGGTTGCGATGGAGCGCTTCCTTCGCTACGCCAACATCCCCAGATCCAGAGATAAAGGAATCCTGGGTATTCTAACCCTCATCGTGGAGTCCTACCTGCCAGACAGCTTAAAAAAGTACCAGAAAAAGAACAATGTCTGGAAGTACGGCAAGTATCCCACTCAGGTCCAGAACGTGCCGTCGTACCTTCGTGACCGACCGGCGCATTTTGTTCGGGAGTGCTTGCAGAACCAGGAAGAAGCCTCCCAGTATAGCAACGTGGATGTGCAGCTGATGGACGCCACGCACGGAGTCTTCAACGTTAGATCCAGTAATGGTTTCCACATTGCCAGCTTCCTGGGTCCAAGCTGCACCTGCAACCATTGGAAGAAGTTCCGCTTCCCCTGCAAGCATTTCTTCGCCATCTTTCTGCACTTCTACGATTGGGGTTTTAATCGGCTACCTGACCTGTACATCAACAGCGTCTTCCTGACGCGGGACGAGGGTGCCTTTCAGGAGCCTCCAGCAGATGATGTCACTCAGGACTTCCAGCCGCTTGAAATCCCAGTGCCGACCTCTAGCGCCGATGCTTGTCCAGCTGAGACAGTCACAGTCTCTACGTCCTCAGAAGAAGGAGCCTGCTTCAATCCCAGCCCACCCAACCCCATCCCAGTCAACCTTATCTCCATCCCTGATTTGGAAGATGCCGGGAGCAGGTCGCTGACAGATGCCACCAATCAAGAGGGGGTGCCCAGTCCAGAAAAGCAGGCCCAAATCGTGAATATCTTCAAGCGAGGGATGGACCTGATCACCGACATCAGCGACGAGCAGCTCATCACTGAGACAGAACAGGTCTTGAGCCACATGGTGACCAAGCTGCAACGCCGGTCCACCCACGAGCACTACATGCAGAAGGTGATGCCCTCTATCAAGAGATTGAAACCGAATCCTCCTCCCGAGATACCACCACCTCCTCAGATGCAACCCGTTGATGAACAACAGCAGCAGCATCATGAACAACAGGAGCATCAACCAGAGCATGTTGTTCTAGATTGTGTGACCAACACGTACTGGTGAAAAGGTTTCGCATTTGGGAATCTCATTGATGAGTATTGCTGCAACAGATCTCAATGAACTGAATTCAAATCTTTGCAATGTACATGTGGTTTGACTCTGTATGGAGTTTTACATGTGTTCACAGGTACACACTTTGATGTAAATATGTGACCTTCTTGCACAAAATTAGTCGGAAGACGCTCAGCCGTATTTTTAGACACAGCCTGTAATATATTGTACAAACATTATTAAAATTCAAAGTCTGGCATTAGAAGCTAGTACAGCGAATATATTTCACTTTTCCGAAGGACTTCATTTGGGAAATTTAAACAAAACTTTGTCCAAACTTTCCGAGGCCTAAAAATTGGGATCCGAAAATACCTATTTAACTCTGTTCAATTTTGTCTGATTCCTGTATTCTACACATCAGTGGAAAGCTTACTACTCAATGTGCTTTCCAATGAGCCCAAAATCCAAGTTTTCACAAATTGGTCCAAGTGACTAGCTTTGTGCCGGAAGGTCGCATAAATTATTCAACGCCTTAATAAGGTTGTTGATCACACATCATTAAATTGATTATCCCAACCCATGGCCTGGTCGCGATTTTTTTCTCCCAAACGACATCCACATATAGTTGAACACTATGGCGTTTTGGACTTAATTTTTATAAAAACATGATAAGAAAATATAAAATTAGAAAAAAAAAGTGAATTTGAACGTTATGAAATTTGGACTTTACTTCCCTTTTTAATTAAAAAAATCTTCCAAAGCCTCAGTTTAGAAAAGGAAAAAAATTCGGGTGCAAAACCGAGATTTGAATTCGCGACCTCGCGTTGCAAAATCCTACCCTCTATTGACTGAGCTGTTGTACTGCTCGCTAAAATGTGTGGAAACAAATAATTATATACCTGCGTGCGTATCATAAAAGTATTGTAGAGGGCACTAAACAACCATGTATGCGGATATCGTTTGGGAGAAAAAAAAATTCGCGGCCAAATCGCACTTGGCGCATTATTTGTATAATACTGGCCCGGTTCTATTTGTTCCATTATTACTTGGGACTGTTTCCCATCTTTTCAGGCTGGCCATTGTTGCACACCGTTAGCTCAAACATTGTCCCCCAAAGTGTGTCCCTAGTTGTCTTTGTACACTGTAATTTGTCATTTAAGTTTCATTAAGATCGACTTCAAATGATTATTTCTTGGGTAGGTACAAGTACATGCAGTTTGCTGCATGTGGTTTTGTTCACAATTATCAATTCGTATATGTCGGATGTAACAGGGACTGGGAAAAAAATTTGGACCCCAAGTTTACGAATGACCCACATGCAACTTTTGGGGAGGTATGTTTGGCAACAATTGCTCGTGCTCCATAAAGACAAAATGAAAGAGTATTACATATGGGTGCAGACCGGTAAATAGGCACAAATTTGCTGCGCAGACCAAATCAATTTTTTTTGGCAGTATTTTGTGGGCCATGTACTTGAAGGATGGTAAAAAAATTTCTGTGAAATTCGGATGTAAGTGGGCCCTGTTTTGCAATGGCAGCATTTTTCAAAATGGCGATGGGCCACAGGACTACATTAAGGGGTGATCATCTTTGGATGGGATTTTTTTCCCAAAAATTCATTGGATAACCCCCCGAAAATGAAAGATGATGAAATAAGCTTTTGTTTCATGGGTGTCTCAAACACTGGAGAGTTGTGAGTATTTTTGATATTTTTTTGAAGTGCACGTAATTATCACGGAGGTCTATGGGAACGATTTGCTGGTCTTCACCCATACATGTAATCAAAACAGCACAGGGTGACGTTCAGGTTTTCAGGAACCAGAAATATGACCGAAAGGAATTTTTTGTGGTTGAACGGAAAATAACTCTTCTTGGAGTTGGAAAGACTTGTAAAATACATGTAAGCAGTTCAAACGTTTGGTGTAAATTGAGTTCATTGTTGATGTTTAATTGAATACTCTTTGTGTAAATATTTCATGATATAATAGTTAAAAACAAAATGTTACATGAAAGTTAATTACAAAGCATCAATTAAAGGTGTAAAAAATAAGGGAAACCACCACAAATTTGGTTTGTTTGTTTTAGTGTTTTAGCCTGAAGGAAAGTTCTTGTATGCATAAGGAACAAAAATCACCCCATAAGAAGTCTTAATCTTTATAAGAGGTATTTTACACAATGAAAACAAATGGTATAACAATACCACTATAAATGAGTCCGGCTACACCCATGACCGAGGCCCCCATCAATGGCGAAACCATTGCGCAAGCTATTGTACGATATTACTGCCCCATGATGGATTATCTCAACAATAGCTAGCACAATACTGTCACCATGAGAGAGGGCCTTTGCGATAGAATTTATAGCGTGCCCAGATTGGTCTACACTGAACTCGACTGTTACAACAAAAATTGGCATTTCTTTGGCTTCAAAATTTCTATTTACAATTTTACACAAGTGACAGCAAAAAAAGTCTCAAAATTGTGTTGACCTCACTGTGTTTGTTATGAACTTCGTGCATCAACAATAGATGGCGTTTCGTGACCACGTTCAGTAGTTTCTTGGGAGGGACCCACCACACATGCGCGTACTCAAGACCACATATCAATAGACCTTTATCATGCTGCCACCATTTCAGTCATGTTCCCTGTATCCAATAACAGTACTGAATGTTTTTTGTGCAAAAAGGAACCAGACTATTTTTCCTTCCAGCCTCGCTTTGGTTACATTGATTTGAATGGGAAAAAAATCAAGATGGCTGCAACATGATAATGGTTTATAACTTCTCAACACGGTGTGAACAAACTGTAATTTCTACATGTGAGCGCCCAGTTTGACGTCTATGGTGCAGTCAACTGTCGTTAATACAAACACTGTTAATACAAATTCTGGTTATAGCAAACAAGCCTTGGTCCTGACTGTGCTTGTATGCACAATGAATGGGACCGGCATCCGCTTAATACAAAATCCTGATATAACAAACATTTTGGCTAGGTCCGGCCGAGTTAACGAGAGTCGATTGTACCAAGTCGATTGTACCAAATCGATTGTAGAAGGCAACCATATTGATGAGCCACTGCAAGTTTACTTTTTCTTTCCCTCTCCCCCCCCCCCCCCAAGAAAACCCATTTGTTGATGGCCTTCTATATCCAGTTTTTTATATCGTAAATATGGAAGTTAATTCACATCAAAATATTTTACCTCAGAGAAATGCAACCATCAAGTACACTTAAAGATCCTGAGTGCCGAGGTAGTTAGGTAAACTGAAGTTTAACTAATAGCGAGGAATGATTGTACTTGGTCATTAGCACACAATGGGACCACTGTATGGAGGTCCTAATAATTTCAAGCAAGTTACAGGCTTTTTGTGGCAACAGGCTCCGTGCTTGAATAGTACAGCGCACTTTTTTACCCCTTTCAAGTGCCGTAGTTGAAGGGACACACCACACATGGTGCACAGTACACCCAGTTTACTTTATTCTGAATGCGCACAAAACTTGAGCGCTAGCGTCAGGCATCTACAGTGAAGCAATCAAATGTCTCTCCCAGTGGTCTCCCCCAACTCTCTCTTTGTGACCATTGAGGGGGTACCTGTGCACGGAGACCATAGCAGCAGCAAATATAAAAAGAATTCATTCTACGTACAAAGTCGGAACTGTTTAATATGTTCAAAATCAAATATACAAGAACCGTTTTCCAAATTTATGCCCAATACAAATTTCATTTCAAAAAGACAACTGTTGTTAAGGATTTTGCAAAGACTTTGTTTCAGGATCACAAGTATGTCGCAAGCAAATCACAAGTCATTCACAAGGAATGAGCAATAGCAAAGGATAGCATTTGGCCAAAAAAAAGTTCTGCTTCAGATTACAAGGCATTCGAAAATAGGGTATGTTAGGCCAAAAAAAAAAAGTCTCCGGTTTCTGGTATGCGCGCGCGTCGCTGTAGCCATGCGCGTCGGCAAAATGAAAACGTTTTTTTTTCAATACAAGATGATGTTTCAAAACCGCCAAACTCACTGGTTTGACTGGAATTCTGCTGCTGCACAATTTTAACGTGTTTTTAGATGGGGTTATGATCGAGAATAAGATTCATGTGGCCTCTCTGGACTCCCATATATTTGCACTAAGTTTAGTCAGGCACCTTTTGCAGTCATCAGCCGACATTTGAAGCCAAAAAAAACAAAAAAACAGGTAAAAAAAAAAAAAAAAAGCCGCGTCGCCGCACCACTTTTGGAGCAAGCTCCATACCAGAAACCGGAGACTTTTTTTTTTTGGCCTTAGGTAGGCATTATTTTTTGCACGATCATATGGAAGCGTCTGCATGTAGTCAAGGCTAAAAGGTAGCAATTGATGGTTTTTTTTTTTTTCTCATAAAAAAATGAGGGCAGGGGCTGTCAGAATATGGTAGGTAGGGAAACTGGAAGCAGAACAATTTTTTTGGCCTTATAATAGCTTGTGACCATGGGCGTCGTGAGGGGGGGCAAGGGGGGAGGCACTTGCCCCCCCCCCTGGAAAAGCAAAAAAAAGGAAGGGAAAAAAAAAAAAAAGAGGCGCGAAGACAAAGTGGTGTAAATTTAATGTGTTGGGGGGGGGGGCAAAATGTCACTGCCCCCCTCTAAAACTGAAAAATCGAGAATGTGTTGAGAAATAAAAGCATTGTTTGGCAAAAAAAAATTGTTTGCCCCCCCTCTAGAAAAAATCCTGGCGACGCCCATGCTTGCGACTGACTTGGGACAGGATCTGTGACTGGCCTGAAGGACTTGTGATCCATCGCAAGTACCACGACAAAAACATCGTCTAAGACGGAAAGTAAATTATTTTGTTTTCACATTTACATTATGCTCTTTTGTGAAATGAAGAAATAAACATGCACATCTTCATTTGTGAGTCTAGTAACTTTGAGCTCATTTTGTCACAGATATGCTTCATGTTCCTTGTCAATCAATCAATCTACAAAATAAATTGATTGACAAGTCGGTTAAATTATCGGTAAACCAAATCTATATGTGATTAGTTTTTGCCAAATTTACGCTGGTGCTGTAAGCACGTTATGGGCAAGAAAAAAAGGAGAACACGAACTTTAAACAATACATTTCCAGTTTTCAGATTTTAGTGTGTAACTGTACATGTTGAGTCAAATATTGTAGCCAAGTTTCAACAAGTCCATCAGGGAGGTAGTTGAGTCTGTCACAAGTCCCTGCAAGTCCATCACAAGTCCTCCAGTCCCAATTCATCTCACAAGCTATTCAAATGGGTTTTGGCAAAGGCATTCCTTAGTCATTGTTCATCAACTTACGTTGTATTCTTACTTGTGACAAGTTGTGGTTTGACTTGTGATAGACATAAGTCTTGCAATTTGTTTGACTAGTGACGAACTTGTGATTTGACTTGTGACAGACTTGTGATTTGACTTGTGACGGACTTGTGATTGACTTGTGATAGACATAAGTCTTGCAATTTGTTTGACTAGTGACGAACTTGTGATTTGACTTGTGACGGACTTGTGATTTGACTTGTGACGGACTTGTGATGGACTTGTGAGGGACTTGTGATGGACTTATGATTTGACTTGTGATGGACTTGTGATGGACTTGTGATGCACTTGTGATTTGATTTGTGATGGACTTGCAATAGTTGTGATGAACTCAACTCCAGATGCATTTTTGAAACCTAGACAAAACTGCAAGTTCTAATCAGAGTCCGATATGCATATGACGTCGAACGATTCTGCCCGGTTCCCACTCTCTTCACTGGTTTCCACTTCTGAGTCACTGATGACTACCACCTCTGAGTCCTCATTGTTCGCGTTGGTCGATGGCACAGGTTTAGTATAAGTCGGTTGTCGGGGACGTGCTCTGTCCTGCAATTCTAGTCTGCTCGGCAAGTTTAGCCGCCGAGGACTAGGCTGCCATTTTGGGGACGTTTTACCTTTGGGAAAATTTGAATATAAGTTGAATACTTTATCCTGGGCCGACTGTGGCTTTGATGGGGTATTCATGTTGCGAAAAGGACCTGAGCTGTTCATCATAGCTTGTGGATTAGGTGCCGAAATGGATTTGTCTGGCTTGTACACAAACAAGCTAGTTCTCACTTTGGGTTTGGGCGGGTATGACTGCACGTTGTTGTGACTGACCCGCCTGGACTGCGCACAGAAATGCTTGCACCATTCAGTCTCCTTCCAAGTCTGCATACAGTGGTTACAGCGGACGAAGCCGCTACGGGATTGTCTGCTGGTGTCGGAGACTACACTCTGATTGACCCGTGCAGTGTGGGTACTGTTCTGGCACTGCGCAGAGGTGACCCGCCTGTTGTGTGCTAGGGATGTAGTTGCGACCTCAAGCCGCTTTTCTGTCTGCAAGACAGGGGTGTCATCCCTCTCGTCCACCACCTCTTCGACTTCGGGGCTGGCGTCCAGTTCAGGCCGGGTGCTTGTGACTGACGGGGGTGGGGAGGGCGTGGGGACAGACATCCCCCTGCTGGGGCGCTGTGTGCTGGGCTTTGTCTCAGCATCCTCAAAGCTGAGCGTGATAGGGGTGGATGTCTGCAGCTTGACTGAGTAAAGCAAAAAAGAAATATATCACAATCACAAAGCCAATGTCACTTCCTCTGGTACCAAGTTCAAAAGTAAATCCATTCAAATAAAGCAACACGGATTGATGACTTTTGGAGCATTTTTTTTCTGTTTTGAAGGGATCAGAACATGTTTTGTGGACATTGTTTTGTAGACATATTTTTGTTTGCTTAAAATTATGGTCTACCGCGTTTGACTTAATATTGTTGTTGGGTGGACTAAAGATATGATCCTCATATGACTTTCACAACTAACTATTCTGAACAGTGCATGATTTTTTTTTCTTACCACTTTTCCCCGACTTGACTACCATGATCCTCTGCTGGCTTGGTGGGCTAATCAGAATACCACCTTTTCCGTCATCGACGACTCTGGCTATGGTGGCCTTGTCTTCATCCCAGTCCTTATTATCTGGCCCTGGAAAAAACCCTGAATGTTCGGACAGACTGCAGACGTTGGTAATAACGAGAGGCAAGGACGGGGATGGCAGGGCCGGCTGATCAAACTTGAGGGATTTCACGGCCTGCTCGGGAGTGTCAAAACTGAGTAGATTGCGCTCGTTCCAAGTCGACGCAGAGACTGTTTGCGCAATTTTGGAAGAGCTGTTGTTTGCGTTGAAATGTCCGTTGGAGAAAGTACATACACGCACATTTTTCGGGTGAGGGTTTCTGGTAAGGGTGTTTGTCTTTGGAGCTGAGATCTTGTCGAAAGTTGATAGGTCTGTGGCTTGGATATCCATCATCTCTTGGTTGTCTGTTTCAAAGAATTGTCTGTGGTCAGTTGAGTCTTCATCTGCGCTCTCTTTGCCGCTGTTTTCTTCATTGCTGCTGAGATGTTTGTCTGGATCCAGTCTGGGTTTTTTGGAAGCTGGTTCAGCTTCCTCTTCTTCGTCCTCGGAGGGCTGGTCCGGAGGTGCATCCGAATCCGAGTGTTCGGAAGCCTCCAGGCTCTCTCCCTTCTTTTCACATTCCTCTTGCTTCTTAACAAAACTGTCCTCCACCTGCCGAAGGTTCTGCTTGGCTAGCGTTCTGTTCTCAATCAGTTTCTGTTTCAGCTCTGGGTCCTTGTCGGCTGAGTCTCTGGCGTTGATGAAGTCCAGCGTGGAGTGGGCGCTGAAGTTTAGAATGAAGTCCTGCTGGCGCCGCTTCTGCAGTTTCCCGCCGAGGTCCTCGAAGGCTTCTCTCGCGATGCTCCGGACCTTCCGCATGTCTAATCCAAGGTCCTTCTTCTTGTTGGTCCTCAAAACAGCCTTGTGGATGTCCGGGAAGTCCGGGAAGAAGTCCTTCTTGTTGACCAACTTCTCCAGCCTCCTGTTGATCTCGGGGAAGCGGGTCCCCTCGTATCTCACCCTCTGCTCGATGACACGTCCCGTGGTTGAGGAGCAACCGTTCAACTCGCAGAGCATGGTGTAGACCTTGACGAAGCGTCTCCTAAGCTGGTACTCCTGGATGTGGGTGGAGTCACTCTCATCCATCTCATCCAAGGTGAGTTCCCTTTCTTGGAGTTTCTTAATGGCCTTGTCCAAATTGTTCAACACCTTCTCCAGTTTCCGAATCTGTTTCTGTGATCCCTTGCCCTTGTCTTTGCCTTTACTCTTCCTATCGCTGTGTTTAGCTTCAGGCACCTCGGATGAACTTGCTCCAACTTCCAGCATCTTGATAGAATCATCTCTTAGAGAATTTGTAGAAGGCCTAGCAATGGCATCCAGGCCTGCACTCTTAGACTCCTTGAAAGATTTCTCCTCCTTCAGAGCATTGTCGTCAGCTGCATGATCACTTGTGACGGTCTCACAAGTCATCAGGAGATCCTCAGACTGGGCGTACGTTTCTTGGGCAATCCCCACTTCCGGACCATCAGCTCTTCCTTTTCTGGCATCATCTTCAACCGCTTGTGGATCTTCTCTCTCCACATCATCATCCCGATTAGCTGGTTTTACTACTGCCTCATCATCCCTTCCATTCTTGGCAATGTCCTTGTTATCTTGCTGATATACCCTTTCTTGAACTTCCTCTGTCACAACAGGATTCACTTCCATCTCATCAGCACTACCATTCTTGGTAACATCCTCGTCCACTTGTGGATCTGCTCTCTTATCTTCCTTAAGAGCTGGTTTTGCATCCATCTTATCAGCTCTTACATTCTCGACAATGTCCTCATTCTCTTGTCGATCTACTCTCTGCTCAACTTTTTCCTGAGCAGCCAGTTTTGTGTCTATCTTAGCATAAGCTCTCCCGTTCTTGGAAACGTCCTCATCTTCTTGTGATGCTTTCTCCGCAACTTCTTCCTTGGCAGCTGGTTTTGCATCTTCCGCCTTCTCGACCTCTAGGGTCGTCAACTGAACTCTTTTAGAGTTGGATGCGCGCATCAGCGCCGCCTTCACATCCTGAATGTGAACATAAACAGACCTCCGTTTCAACTGCAAATCAGAAATGTGCTCCCGCATGAAACACCTGAAGTCTTCGGATTGAGTGTAGGACTCCTTTGCCTCGTTAAATTTGTCTGTGAGCAGTTTGGCGATGGACTTTTGTTGGTTTGACTTGAGTAGTGGCTTGCACACTGCCATGAACTAGGGATACAAAAGAGAACAAACTGTTTCATATTAAAAGTAAATCAACATTTGTAACTTCTTTAAGGGGAGTCCGTTATGCCACTTCTTCACTGATTAACTAATTCTAGTCCATTTTTAACGTTAATGAAAATGTTTAATATTTCAATAATTTGACATATTAACTTATTAAGACCAGTTTCCCCAATACCTTAAAATACTTTCCTTGTACAAAATCTTTAGACATTTGAATTCAAATGTAAAATTGACAAAACTCATACACTAAAAATTCTACTTATAACTGTCATTAGGAATTAAATGTTGTTTTAGAAATGAATAATGTAAATTCAAATCATTCTTTTTCAATCGGGGCGTTTTTATTTTTTATTTTTTTTGAAAATGGCCGCCATTTTAAAATTTCCTGCAACCGTTGGTGTTTCCACTGTTCAAAGACAATTTTAAAATGAAAGACAAGTTGGACAAGAGAACTGAACATATCTACAGTGTCATTTAGAGTTGTATTGGTCACATATTTTGCAAGTATTTATTTTCTGATGAACTTGTGGACTAATTTGGTATTTTTTTACTGCATTTTTAAGAAATAAAAAATCAAAAAAAAAATCCAGGCGGCCTCCAAAAAGGAAGCGGGTGGGGACGAGAAACATGTTTTTATTTTACTTCGCCTAATGGGTGCCTTTTGTTCAATTGTGCGCATGTATCACCCTGAAAAGCACCAAAATCCCCCCCCCCCCAAATAAAAATGACAATGACATTGCTAGTGCTATGCTATATGCCAACACAACACAACAGACATTGTCACGTGACTGTCAATCAATCATGAAACTGAAAGACCTCTCAGCCTCTCTGATTTCCTACAGAAATAACCTATATTATTGATTAATTTTTCCTCTAATGAGCGGAGGCATACCTCGCGTAATAAACGAAGTCCATCTTCCCTTTGAGGCTCGTCTGGTTCGAGACTTTCACTGTCTGAACTGCAAATTTCAATCACTTCATCGTCCTCAAAAAACGCCATTTTTTGGGGGTTTCTCAGCCGTGCATGTTTAACAAAGCTCAATAGAGGGCGCTGTCTATACTTAGTGGCGTGGTGCGGCCAAACTTGTTTTCGAATCCAAGCTTGCTTATCTAAGCTTCACCAAAGAAATGTTTTCCTCTTCCTTTTATGTCAACAAAGAATTCTTTTCAAACCATGGATGTATGAACACTCACGGCCTCCGCTGCTAGAAGAAAATGAACCTAATGAAGGAGGGAGGAGGAACGGAGATTTCTAAGCCACCCACCCATAAAAAATTCCAACCGTGATTTCATCCGGGCGACGGCGGGCGGGATGCCTTGGTAAGATTTTCGAAATTCTTTGCTTTCAATTTCTTTCCCTCTCTTTTTCAGTGTATCTGTACGTGTCATTTTTTTAAAAGCCATGACATTGAAAAGTTGTCTCCAATTTCTGAGTGCTTTTTAAGTGAAAAATCCCACTAGGCCTACTTATGAAAAAACACCTGGAGCTTTGTGAAAGCTTTATCACATGGTTTCTTCGTTTACCTAAAAAAAGGCGCTAATCGCTTTAAAGTGCACATGACATTTAATAGCACGAACACTTGACATAAGGGCTCCCAACTTTAAAAGATGATCCGCTTTGTTCGATCTTTATATTGAAGATATATACACAAAAGAACCCTTGAAGAATGCGCCCTAGAAAAAAAATAGAAGTAATTTTTCGACAAAATGTTATTGGAGGTATAATAATGGTTTATCAGATTCTGTCAACTCTTGTTATTAATGTCAACAAGTGCGTAATACTAGGGAACAAGCGGCCGATATTGGGCCCAGTTTCCGGACGCCACCGGTTTTGAATTTCGGACTAAATCTTATGACCCTGAAATTTTTCACAAAGGTTCAACAGCAAGCATTTAATAGGGTAAAAATATCAGTATTTAACTTAACTAATTTAACGTTTGTCAACAATGAGGTTGACAGGTTTATGGGAATATCGTTCAACGCCAGCTAAAAGAAAATAAACAATGGACTTATGGGGTAAACAGTTGGTGGTAAATAGTTGAATTTATAACACCTCACCCACAGATTCTGTGTCTTGATTGGCCGAGAGCGAGTCACATGTTACTTTCTAATTTTGCTATCTTTCTGTGCACGGCCAAAAGTACTATGCGCATAGCAACCAAAGTACCATACCAATAGCAACCAAATAACTATTTCCACGGCGCGGTATTTGTGTGCAAATGGATGCTGGTGTGCGCGTAGCGCGTATTGTTCCAAAGAGAGCGCGCCACAGACTTGGGTTCGAACATTTCGTGAAGGGGTAGTTTGGAAGACAGAAATACATTTTCCACCAATTTTGTATCGAAATTGAAGTTTATTTCAACTGTGTTCAGATTAAGATAATTTAAAATATTAAAATCAAGCAGAATCTGTGGGTGAAGTGTTATAAAACAAATATTGAATGCTTTATCTCGTAGTGAAGTAAAACTAGCCTCCCTCGGTGATCCATGGACCATTCTATTTTCCCTCGGCTACGCCTCGGGAAAATAGAATGTCCATGGATCACCTCGGGAGGCTAGTTTTACTACACCACTCGAAGCATTCAATATTTGTATAATATTGGTGAATAGTAATAGTTGGGGTGAATATGGGGTAATTAGTTGAATAACTGAGTTGGCGTATAGTTGGGGCAATTGTAAGCGAACTATCGCCGTTTGTGAGTTAGCCACGCCCCTTAGATGTGGAGTGTGGAATTGTATACGTCGGTCTATCTTAGAATTTGCAGATTCCCCGGCCATGCATTTTGTACATCATATAATTGGACAATATTTCACAAGCTGCGTTGACGCGATTGTGTGTAGACTTCAAGTGGTAAATAGTTGGCGGTAAACAGTTTAATCATGGAGCTATGAAAAGAACGGTTTAGTTGGAGTGAATATGATTAGGGTGAATAGTTGGGGTAATTAGATGAATACAGTCGGCGTGAAAAGTTAGGGTAAAATAGTAAAGGTATTTGATCTGACAAATACGATCAAATACTGATAAAAGAAACATGACAATAGTATACGAACAACAACTCTCACCCTCCCCCCCCCCAAAAAAAAAATAGATCAGGTGAACTGGCACGCACGAGCAAATTTGTAACAAACATCAAAATACCTCAGACAACAAAACACAACTCAAATCTCTTAGTCAAGCACATCGATCACATCCAATTTTTTTATCTGATAAACCCAATTTCAACCGGATTTGTGATTCATAGACCGTTAAATTCAATGGCGGTTTTGCTTTCTGAATAAAGTTATCGCTTCCGCTAGGGGGGGGGGGGGGGTCACACTTCATCACATATTATGGACAACTTTTACGTTCCATTGTTGACAGCAGAAAAGGTCCCCAACTCCTACACGTCTGTACACGTTTACTGGTAGGAGGTTCTCTAGCGTGTATACCTATTGTTCCCCGTTAATACAAAGTTAATCCTTCCGTGGGCAAAACCACCGAGGAAAAAACTTTTCAAAGGGGGTGTTTTGAGGCAGACACTGGCCTGGGTATTTTCCCACGGTAGGTGAAAAGGGGTTGGCAAGCTTGGGATATGGGTGTCAGTATGCCACACGTGACAGTGCGGTGGTAGCGCATCGCGAATTACAAAATACCATCTAATTTTCGAACTGCAAAATTGCTGGTCGGTGTGCGTTGCACGTGCGTGCCACAAAAAAGGAGGCAAATTTGAGGCCATGGACCTAACACTACAGCGCGACCTGGCGGATGGCGCACAGTGAACAGAAAAAAAATCTCCTCTTTTATCATGGTAATGTCGCCGACCTTTCGTCGGAGCTTAAATAATTCTTTTGCGGCTACGTGAAAGGCTTTGTAAAGGATATTGTAGTGCGTCTGCAGTTCATATTTAGTCTGGATAATTGGTATTTATTCGCCAGTGAACGACGTATGTTTTTTCTATCCGTGGACTGCATCTGGTTGGCCGTCTGTTGTAAAGTGTGATATTCATGGTGTTCTTTGAGAAGACACGAAAGGGGAAGGCATGCCCCATACCGACTGTCGGTGGTCTCATAACCGACCAGGAAACATCGTATAAGTATCCTGTCTGGATTATCGCAAGGATTTTGTACATGTCTTTGGAAGGCACTCGCCAATCGTGAATGTAACATGTCCGAAACCGACAATTAAGTTCCCAAAGTCGACGAGGGAGCTTTGAAAGACTATCCTGTGGTCTGGAGTTTGATCTTGTGTTGGGGATCTGCTCGACAATTGTGGAAGACTACATGCCAGAAACCTACAGTTAAGTTCGGAGTCAATCAGAGAACTTTGAAAGACTGTACTGTCCTGCATGTGGTCAGGACTCGCAAGGACTGTACTTCTTGTGTTCCAGATCCGGGAGGTGCTAGACAATCGTGGCAGTAACATGTCAGACACCGACAGTTAAGTTCTTAGAAGCGATCAGAGAACTTTGAAAGACCAACGTATCCTGTTGTCTGGATGTTCACATGGATTTTGCTATAATTGTGTTTGGGAGGTGTTTGACAATCGTAACATGTATAAAACCAAAACCGGTGGTTAGGTTTTCATAACCGACGGAGAACATATTGCAGGAATATTATCAACTGGCTCTGGAATCTCGACAGGATTGCCATTTTTTTTTGGCTTTGGAAGGGTGCTCGGCCAAACGTGGATGTAACATGTCCTCAACTTACCAGACCGCGAACCCACAGCGAAGTTTCCACGACGCAGTGCGTCGAGGCGACCCCAAGGAGCTCACCCGCCTGCTCAGCGGCGCGCTGAACGGCACCTTCAACGTGAACGTGTTCGATGGAGAGGGACAAACCCCGTTGCACCAGAGCGTCCTGATCGGCGACCTGGAGCTCGTCAAACTCCTGGTGCAATTTGGAGCCGATGTGCGGCTTGCTAACAAGGATGGGTGGAACGCCTTGCACATAGCCGCTTACGGCGGCCATGACGATATCGTTCTGTATCTTATCCGGAGACGATGTGGAAACGACCGAAAACGGTGACGGTATATACAACTGGAAACTGGAGCATCGTGGAATGGGACGTGCATGTGGCCTGGTGGTTAGGGTTCGTCATGTGAGATGGTCAGGGTTCGAATCCAGCTGCTGACCATAATGTTGTGTCCTTGGGCAAGCCACTTCACCCCGAGTAACCTGCGATGGACTGGCATCCCATCCAGGGGGAATAGAAATACTCTCAGTCGGTCATCACACCTAGGAAACCGGCCCAACGCCGGCCTGGTGAGCCATATTTATAAGCCTCGGAACAGACTTCCCCTAAAGGTGAAATTCAATCGAATAGGGACAGTGGAGTGCGCGATATAGAGAGGAATTAATTCAATCCAGTCAGTAGACTGAGTTTTCACTAGAATTTCATATAGCCTACTTGTATTACAAATACCTGGAGTGATTTTCACATGTTAGTTACACACTTTGGACAGAAGTATCACTTGGTATCGACGCCATTTATTTGGTCCAAAACAAGGAAGACAGTACAAATTTAGTACAAGGGCAAACGAGTCCCAACATAAGTCCCATGGGAGGGGGATTTTCACCCCCCCCCCCCGGTCTGGTATGTTGATCCGATTTTGAGATAATGGTTCAGCATGCCGACGGCTTAGCCCTTAATCCCTTTCAATCCGTTTCTCGAGGATCGCTCATCTCTTCGGATGCAACTCCTAAAAGCCACAGTTATGGTTTTGCAGTGTTGTCTAAACTATCTGGGAATACAATACTGTCCTATAGATGGATTGCGTTCAGCCGCCATCTTGACGGTGTGTTTTGTTATGCTAATCCATCAACAATGAATGACCAAGATGCCTAGTCGTGCGTATCCCTGTTGAACAAAAGCACACGCCTCAAACATGGCCGAGTGCAAACAATCTATGAAGTATTCTGTCGATAGATGACACAAACTATACCGTAAATTTAATGTGTTACTTATAAAACTGTTCAGTATTACTTGTAAATAATGTTTTAGTTCAGATAAAAGTTATTTTTGTTGAAAGATCCTGGTGCTAAGTTTTCGTACATTACATTCAGCACCAAAATAAACAAACAAATGACTATTATATTAAACATGTACAATGTACAGTGGACTCAGCATACACGTGTATTTAGTGTGTATTACAGTTGACGATTGGAAGAAACGGTGCTTGTGATTTCGAAATTTGTTGGTAATGAATTTCTCTGGTACATGTATAATTATTGTCTTTCATGCATAAAATGAATGTAAAAAGGTTGGGTATACGTCATGTACATCAGAAGCAGCTGTATATGGACCATGCACTTTCTTTGAAAACTGAGCACCATTTATTTATAACACATTGAGTGAGCCGCCATTTTGACTTTCATACCTGCTCGGGAACAACTTTTTTGTTGCTAAAAAAGGCACATTTTAGACCCCAGTATTTGTAGTTTCTGTTGATCGCTATGTTTAGTTGCATTGTATTTTTTCAAATCCCGCAAAATGAAGTTTTGACAACTAAAGTCATATGTAGGATCATTTGCATTTTATCCCAAAAGTAACCTACCGAATTGTTGTCAAAAAGCTTACTTGGATTGAGGATCGCACTGGTACTAAACAACCCATGAAATTATTCCGTCTGACTTGCTGTCATTTAGAAACAAAATTCAAGAAATGCATTGGTGATTTCCAACGATCAGTCTATTGACTGAATTTTGGAAATAAAGAGTGATATTTCACTGTTTTCTCGAAGTGTGATATCTACTGAGCTGAAACTCCAACGGGTTTAAGTTTTGAATATATTCCTTGGATTTTGAGTGGTGTCATTATTAGCAACAAACGAAAAACATGAAAAGCAAATGATCATATATGCCTTTCAGTTTGTTTTCAAATATCCTAGTCGGTTAACATAATTGGAATCATTTTGGGAGTCGGAATAATGTTTTGAGGTTCTGGTGAATGGCATATATTGGAATGAGACGTGTTCTTTAAACTTAGGAAATCTTTCGCAGATTTACCTGCGATTTTATACCCCTTTGATCTTAAAGATTGTGGAGAATGTTATTTGCCATCGGCATACCGTATACGGCCTTGTGGCATATTGACACTACTTCCACATTGTGTCGGCCTCTTATATATATAAAAAAATTTTTTTACAGAGAGAACAAAAATCTGTAAACCAAGTCCATGGTCACCTTGCATTGTTCGACAACCGTTTGTTCGCGTGTTTGTCAAGTCATGCCACCAGAAGAAAAAAAATGTCGAGATTTTTTCTCTTCTTTAAAAGGCTGGGTGGTTTTTGTGCAAGGAAGCGTGTACTGGCGGAAAGGGGTACCGTTGTTGACTCAGTGAACCACGGGCAAGCCAGGTCCCTGTACCCCGCTCCTTCGAGGGGCCTATTCGGAACCCTCGGTCTGTATGTTTACCCAAGTCTTTTATCGCCTTTCTTCTCCCTTTTGCCAAAATTCGGGACATGAATCGAGCTGGCGAGGCCACTTCTGGGTCACAGAACTCAAAGCAAAGGAATTCCTCTTGTCCGCTTGCAAAAAGGTGTTATAAGAATAACACAGGGGAATTGTGTCGTGATCGGTTGGGCTCGCACAGCTTTTTCATAGCATTTTTTTTTAAAACCAGGTGGCTAATTTTCCCTTCATCTTTTGTGCACGTTATGAGTTTGACTTTGGAAAACTCACTATCGTGAGGTTCAGAGAGGAGTAGTTAGTTTATTCCGGGTTGAATTTATGAAGAGCATCCATGCAACGACCAACTTGATTATGTCCCGAATATGATAAGCAATATTATCTTAAGAATTTTAAGACTAGTTTGCTTTCAAAGAATACGTTCTTGAGAAAGCGACTGGAAATCCATTCGCTATACATTGTAATCGGTCACTTTTTTGGGTCATGTAGTTTGAGTTGACCAAAAAAAAATTGTCAAAAAATGTAGAGAGAAAAACCATCTGGTCATTTTGAGAAGTTCATTTTTAAGAAAGAAATCCTTTTTTTTCTGGGATTTGAAAATTGACGTTTAAAACGTAAACTTCCATCATTTTGATATAGCTGTTCTAGGCCGTTTTCCAAACACCGGCTTCAGTCCGTCTCCGATTAATTGAAGCCCATTGCCGCACCGAGCTGCATGAATGAAGCCAGATCGGAGACGAAGCCGGGGTTTCGAAAACGGCCACCCCTTGCACGTTGCGCCCTCCAGGGAGCATTTTTTTTGTAATTTTAAATTAAGTGACAGTGAAGCTTGTCTTTTCAAAGAGGAACAGGGACCTCCCCCCCCCCCCCCCCCCCGACAGATGCAACGTCGGATGCCCGGGGTCTGTTGTCATCAATGTATGTGGTCAAATCATCATTCAATTTGTTTGTTTGTTTCATTTGTTGTTTTATTTTCTGCGGCCAGTAAATTGTTTTATTAAATTTATATTAATTTCTATCGTTAATATTATAGTTCATATAGCCTACCAGTATTGTTATACGCATAATACAAGGTCCTATCCAGTACACTGCCTATTATTATTATAATTAATTATTCTGAATGCATCAACTGTTTATGCATTGTTGTTAATCTTTGTATGCACTTATAAATACATTTTATGCGCACTATGCTGTAACGAAATTTAACAATGTGTTTAGCATTTTCAAAGTACATGTACCTGATAAATTTTTTTTTTTTTTAAGACGAACTTTTTGTCATAAACATCAATGCTGCACGTCAAAATGATATTGTTGGGAACATGATGCGTGCAGATTGGCACGTGCGTAACGTTTTATGTCTTTGTTGGAGTATTTTGTTGTTTGATTTACTGTTAAGTTGTTGTTTTTGTGATTGGTTTGGTGGACGTCATCATATTTGGGTACGTATCAAAACAAAATTCAAAAATCAGGAGCAACACGTGGTCAGAGAGAAGTCCTTTTATTGGTCCTTTTTTAATGGGCGGGCCGCCCCGGAATCGACTCACAGTTTTAGGCTTACATTAAAAGATATCCCTCTGTTTAATTCTGCCAATATATGCAAAATGTTCAACGATTTCTCACGAAATTGAATCTCAAGTGTAACACCTCAAGACCGATTGTCAACTAAAAGTTTCTGTCGAAAAAAGGGCGCACTAAACAAAATAGCGCTGTACTACGTACGTAGACAAACGTGCCTAGCTATGGGTACAAACCGTTGCGGTAAGTAGTCCCCAAATTTAGTGCCTACGCTATAGCTGGCCAATCACTTGCAAATTCTTTGCTATTAGAGCATTTAGCGGGCCATGAATTCAGTTTGAAGGTTTGTACAAAAGATGGGTAAAAACGGTTAATCCAACTCGTATTCCTGTAAAATCCGTATGAAAATGGGCCCGAGAATTGCTCTATTCAAATGGACCGCAGGCACCATTTTTCAAAATGGCGATTAGCCCGTGTGACAGGTAATTCTGGCCCCCTGGTAAATGTGTCACCCCGGACACATTCAACGGCTCGTGACCCGGTAAATGTGTCCGGGGGGACACTTTTACCTAGGTAGATTTGTCCCCCTCCAGGTAAAATTGTCCCCCTGCCCAACGGTGCAAGTGTCCCCCTGGTAAATGTGTCCCTATTATGACCGTAACAATACAGGATTTTAATTGCAACAAATACAATCCTAATAAGTCAACATGGATTTTGAACGTTTAAAACACTAAATTGTTACGATCATATTGTATTGATAGCTCCACGGTTTCTCACGCCATTCAAACTACTTATGCTACACATCGTGAAAACTTATTGCACGAAATTTCAATTTAATCCATTTTGTATTCCTTGAGTAGTTCATCGGAAACGAGGTTGTTCTTTTTGTTCACTTGTGCAGCATCCGTATTGATGCGTTGTTGAGACTACTATTGATGTGGCGGTGCCTCTATTATAGTGGTCTCGATCTCCACCATCAAACCCGATTTCGGGCCAACAACTCAAGAAATACACGTAGTGGCGTAGCCACGGGGGGCGTGGGGGGGCGATAGCCCCCCCCCCCCCACATGAAATCTTGTCGCCCCCCAGTCGTCCCCACCCACCCCCTGAGATTTTGAGTTGCTAAAAATATTATCATTGATCTACATGACGCCCCCCATGAAATGTTCCAGCCCCCCCCCCCGCCCAGCACCCCCCCCCCACTAAAAAGTTCATGGCTACGCCACTGAATACACGTTATGTTAAAATGAATTTTCTTACACTCATTTGTCATGATGTTTGGCATCATAAGATTTCATTTCATAATAAAAACGTCAAATTATCAAGCTATTATGACCGTAACAATACAGGATTTTAATTGCCACAAATACAATCCTAATGGAAGTCAACATGGATTTTTAACGTTTAAAACACTAGATTGTTAGGATCATATTGTAATTATAGCTCCACGGTTTCTCACGCCATTCAAACTACTTATGCTACACATCGTGAAAACTAATTGCACGAAATTTCAATTTAATCCATTTAGTATTTCTTGAGTAGTTCATCGGAAACGAGGTTGTTCTTTTTCTTCAATTGTGCAGCATCCGTGTTGATGCGTTGCCGAGACCACTATTTATGTGGCGCGCCCTCTATTATAGTGGTCTCGATCTCCACCACCAAACCCGATTTCGGGCCAACAACTCAAGAAATACACGTTACATTAAAATGAATTTTCGTACACTCATTTGTCATGATGTTTGGCATCAAAAGATTTCATTTCATAAAAAAAAGTCCATTAATAAAGCTATTATGACCGTAACAATACAGGATTTTATTTGCAACAAATACAATCCTAATGGAAGTCAACATGGATTTTTAACGTTCAAAACACTAGATTGTTACGATCATATTATATTTATAGCTCCACGGTTGCTCACGCCATTCGAACCACTCGTGCTACACATCGTGAAAACTACTTGCACGAAATTTCAATTTAATCCATTTTGTATTTCTTGAGTAGTTCATCGGAAACGAGGTTGTTCTTTTTCTTCAATTGTGCAGCATCCGTGTTGATGCGTTTCCGAGACCACTATTTATGTGGCGCGCCCTCTATTATAGTGGTCTCGATCTCCACCACCAAACCCGATTTCGGGCCAACAACTCAAGAAATACACGTTACATTAAAATGAATTTTCGTACACTCATTTGTCATGATGTTTGACATCAAAAGATTTCATTTCATAAAAAAAAGTCCATTAATAAAGCTATTATGACCGTAACAATACAGGATTTTATTTGCAACAAATACAATCCTAATGGAAGTCAACATGGATTTTGAACGTTCAAAACACTAGATTGTTACGATCTTATTATATTTATAGCTCCACGGTTGCTCACGCCATTCAAACCACTCGTGCTACACATCGTGAAAACTAATTGCACGAAATTTCAATTTAATCCATTTTGTATTTCTTGAGTAGTTCATCGGAAACGAGGTTGTTCTTTTTCTTCAATTGTGCAGCATCCGTGTTGATGCGTTGCCGAGAGACCACTATTTATGTGGCGCGCCCTCTATTATAGTGGTCTCGATCTCCACCACCAAACCCGATTTCGGGCCAACAACTCAAGAAATACACGTTACATTAAAATGAATTTTCGTACACTCATTTGTCATGATGTTTGGCATCAAAAGATTTCATTTCATAAAAAAAAGTCCATTAATAAAGCTATTATGACCGTAACAATACAGGATTTTATTTGCAACAAATACAATCCTAATGGAAGTCAACATGGATTTTTAACGTTTAAAACACTAGATTGTTACGATCATATTATATTTGTAGCTCCATGGTTTCTAACTCCATTCAAACTATTCATGCTACACATCGAGAAAACTAATTACACGAAATTTCAATTTAATCCGTTTTGTATTTCTTGAGTAATTCATCGGAAACGAGGTTGTTCTTTTTCTTCACTTGTGCAGCATCCGTATTGATGCATTGTTGAGACTACTATTGATGTGGCGCGCCATCTATTATAGTGATCTCGATCTCCACCACCAAACCCGATTTGGGGTCAACAACTCAATAAATACACGCAGTGGCGTAGCCACGGGGGATAGCCCCCCCCCCCCCCTCATGAAATCTTGTCGCCCCCCCCCCCCAGTCGCCCCCCCCCCACTGAGATTTGATTTTCTAAAATAATTATCATTGATTTACTTGACGCCCTCCCCGCATGAAATATTCCAGTACTCGCGCATCGCCGCAAGTACATGCTGCAAGAATGTGGCAGCGTTTATCGCATATGTGTACATAATGTGTATCCCGCTACACAAAGGAAATTCATCCAATAGGAAATTTCGTTACGCGCTACGATGGGAACGAAGACCAATCCAAGTAGGCGTTATATCAATGAGGCGTCCACCGTAGAATAGGGCTACACCGTACTCCGAATCGATCGAAACATTGTGTTCACATTTCACATCTAAGAAAGAGACCAAAAAGTTAATTTTTTTCATCTTCATGAAGGGCAGACTAAAGAGTAAAAAATGTATACCTTGTAGAGTGAATTCATGAAAACAATATAGAGAACTGGCCTTCTGCGTTGCAAAACTAGGGGGACAAAAAAACCTGGAGGGGACAGAATTACCTGAAGGGGGCAGAATTAACGGGCCGGGGATGACACTTTTACTTAGGTAATTCTGTCCCCCCCGGACACTTTTAACGGGGGACAGAATTACCGTCCACACCCGCACTGGACTACTTTTCGGGGTGATCATCTTTGTAGGAAATTTTCTCCCAAAATTCATCTGAAAATTGAACAAAAACGGAACAGAAAGTAATATATGAAATAAGCTTTATTTTCATGTGCGTCGCAACACCTAATATGTTTGTGAGTATTTTCATTAATTTTGGAAAATGCGCGAAATTATCACTTTAATTTTATGTTAAACCGTCAGATAATAAAAAAAAACCAATATCACCGAAAAAATAATTAGTGTTTTCCCCAAACGCGTAAAATACAATCTGATATCAATTTTCATGGTACAGATGCAACACAGTACTCTTGGAAAGGAAAAATACCTCTTTACTGACTTGGAAGTTCGTTTGTTCACTATATGCAAAAAAGGCGCGCTAAACAAAAGAGTGGTCTCACACGAATTTTACAAGCCGGTGTCGCCAACTATATAATCTTTCAAAAGAGGGCGCCTTACACAAATAGCGGTCACCACTTTTGTTTCTCTTTAGAAAAAGCGAAACAAAACTCATTTCCATTTTTTTCACAGCAAAAGCTATACCCAGAAACCAAACTCATTTTTTGGGGAACCAAAAGGAAAACCGAAAAAACGAAACCCACTATTTATATGGCGCGCCCTCTATTGAAAGAAAATTATTGTAGACCACAGAGGGCGCTCTTCTCAATAACATCCACGAAAAATTTTGTTGGCAGTATTTTGGGCAAAGTTTTTGAACTGTTGGAGTTGAACTTAAATACATTTTCCCACGAACCGAAAAGTATGGCCTCGGATGAGCATATTGCAAAGGTTTGTATCGCATTCTTCACATTTTTTCAATCTTTCAAAAATAACCTTCATGACCTTTGCAAAAAGCAGACTGCCACTGCCATTAGTCCGAGTAACTTGGACCCAACTTATCGCCTTTTTTAATCATTAGTCGCCAGACCATGTCCAAATGTTAAAAAAGGCGATAAGTTGGGTCCAAGTTATTCGGACTACACTGCCATAGCCCCACAAATGTGGCCTATTTACTAAATTACTGGACTACCTTAGCTTGAGTAACTCCAGCTGACATGTTGTATTCATTCACATGTAACGCTGGAGGAATAACCTGTTCGTTTCCATGTGGTAGCAAGAGACCCTAAAAAAACGGCCTCTCCAAAATTGTCCGAATTTCACCTCTTTTATCCCACCCCAGAGTTCATTTTACATACCTCATACATTCAGCAGTCATTTACGAAGCCTAATGATCGACTTGAAACAGACCACACACAAAAGTGAAAAATCTTGACGATTTCGGTGGCTTGTTCCTTAAAAATATGCCAGTTCCAACGGCTGTTTTCCATTTTGTTTTACTAATTATGTAAATGTATGCATCACGTGATGACATCAAAAAAATCTGCGCGCGCGATGTATGTGGGTAACACACCGCTTTCAGGCGCCGCAAGTGAGTTCAATTTTCGTCTGGTGTGTTGCCGTGGAGAGCATTCTCGTTGTCTTGCTTTCCGCGACAACACACCAGACGAAAATTGAACTCACTTGCGACGCCTGAAAGCGGTGTGTTACCCACATACATCGCGTGCGCGCAGATTTTTTTTTGATGTCATCATGTGATGCATACATTTACATAATTAGTAAAACAAAATGGAAGACAGCCGTTGGAACTGGCGTATTTTTACGGACAAGCCACCGAAATCGTCAAGATTTTTCACTTTTTTGTGTGTGGTCTGTTTCAAGTCGATCATTAGGCTTCGTAAATGACTGCTGAATGTATGAGGTATGTAAATGAACTCTGGGGTGGGATAAAAGAGGTGAAATTCGGACAATTTTGGAGAGGCCGTTTTTTTAGTGTCTCTTGCTACCACATGGAAACGAACAGGTTATTCCTCCAGCGTTACATGTGAATGAATACAACATGTCAGCTGGAGTTACTCAAGCTAGGACTACCTAAGGTTTTTTGCTTTAGAAGCATACTCACCCTCTTTATAGGCTAATCAGAAAGTGCTGCCTTTTTCAGATGTCTAATTTGTGTGAAATTTCATGTTGAAATTTTGATACGCAAACGTGTGCCAACGAATCTGGAAATTTCACAAAAAATAGACATCTGAAAAAGGCAGCACTTTCTGATTAGCCTAGTACATGTAGTATAAAGAGGGTGAGTTTGCTTCTAAAGCAAAAAAAAACAACCTACAAAGTAAGCCTAAATGTGAAAATCAAACTTTGACAAAGTTCTACATGTTTTTGTACATGGTGGAAGTGTGGGCTTTATTTACGGAGGTAGTCCAGTAAATTGGCCACATTTATGGGGCTAGGTAAGCCTACAATGCGGTGATCCCCCAAAGTTCCCTCAAAAATTCAAAACCGTGCTCACCACATTCTGCATTCTTGAGGGGACATATTCGGCCGTGAAACCTAAACCCTAAATTGCTACTCGCGAGTGCCTGCTTTTACTTGCACCAGGACGAGTACTTGCACCAGGACGAGTACTCAAATATGTAGCTATGAAAAACCATGAGTAGAACAGCGAGTAGCATAAACTACTCACGAGTAATCAAGTTACTCGCCCAGCGGTATTCATAACAGTGGAGCCCTTAATGAACATGAAGTATAAAATATAAACAGAAAATCATAATTTTGTGTATTAAATTTAGTTCCACAAGGACGGCTATGTCGTCATCAAGGATTTTCTGACTGCTGAAGAGGTCAACGCCCTGAAGAATAGTTGCCATGACATTGTGACGGACATGGACCCCAAGGACCATACTATGACAGTCTTCAGCTGTCGAAACCAGGTACTTAATTCTAAATAAGTCCTATACTTTGTGACCACTGCATAATTCAAACGTATGAAGGTAAAGGTGTAAGGCATGGTACCTAGTATCTATTTCTATACATTTTGAATACAGTCATACACCAGACTATAAAATGGCCCATCTTATATAGATTGCCACATGGGTTATTCTATAAATTAGGGGTCCACTTCTTTTCCTGTCCCTGTTACATCTGACATCTATGATTGTATAATTCTGATGCACTCCTTAATGCAGTCATCCTCCAAGAGTGATTATGAATAGCAAACTACCTACTCAACAAAAAGTATAAATAGTTTGAAGTCATTCTTAATGATACTTGAATGGCAAATTACAAAGACCTAGGTAAGAGGGGCAGGAAAAAGCTAAGCAAAATGACTCGACTGGAATAATTTCCAATCCTACCAACTAATTCCAGTAATCACATCCTCTGTTTTGATACAGACGAGGGATGACTACTTCCTTACCAGCGGGGATAAGATCCGATTCTTCTTTGAGCAGGGAGCAGTCAATGACAAGGGTAAGCGTACATGTATAGCGGACGATCAAATGTTTGCCAAATCTCTGCCATTTCTCTGGAGGCCTGATAAGACAAGCAATTTAAAACGATTATTTAAAAATATTATTAATTAAAAAATAATACCTCCTAACTAGCAGATAATCCCTCTAAATATTATTTTAATAATTGTTACTAATTAAACGAATCATTGAGACTGCCACAACAGCTGTTTTTAAATTAAAAAAAACAATATGAAAAGGTCCATGACAATTTTTACAACCGAACATATTTTGTGAATCATACTGCTGACAATATGTAAACATTTCTCAACGAATATTTATTTGCTGTAAAGCCTGGCCCACTTCTTTTGCATTTTTTGATGATTATAGGAGAGTTGAGTGTTGACAAGCACAAGGCCATCAATAAAATCGGCCACGCCCTGCACGAGCTTGTCCCCGAGTTCAAGAAGGTCACGCACAAACAGAACGTGCAGGTAAAAAAAGGCCCCCCCCCCCAAAAAAAAAGTATAAGCAACGGAGTCTTTGTTACACAATGTGAAATGTTAACAATGTTTGGCAATGTCTTCATATTGATGCCAACATTGTCCGAAGATGTGTTGCAAAAAAATTGCCGCTCTGAGTTAAACCCTTGTAGATGCATTGAGCTTTGAAGCATTTATATTACACTTAATTTACCAGGAATTAATGCCACATTTTTATAATCCAGTCCGGTATCTCCATGAAATAGTCCGATTCAAAAGTCATTTGGGGTATGTGTCAAGCGTCTTGCAACCGAGATGTTACGCGAACGCCCATTTTGCTTTTCATTAATGCGTCAGTGTCGTGCGGCCATCACCTTGCGCGTTCATGCGCTTTCGATGAGTGTTCGATGATCCCGAATGCAAACTTGAAATACCGAAATGGCTTATTGCATAAACATCTTTTATAATCGTGTCCTCCTTCCTTTCAGGATGTGGCCAAGAAACTCGGTTACGTCAAGCCTGTCCTTGTTCAGAGCATGTACATCTTCAAGCCGCCCAAGTTGGGCGGAGAAGGTAAAAAAACAGATGAGAAACATGGCCATGTTGTTGTAATGGGTCTCATTTCACTATTTTTTAGAAGATTACACAATATACCTCAACAGATTTTGAAGTGTGGGTGCCATCTCTATGGGCAAAAGTGGTTTTGCAAAACTTGAAAGGTTGTGAAGTGTAGAAGACTAGGGGTTGATGGATTCAAACCACAGTCACCGAAGTGCGACACTAAGGAAAACACCACTGTGCCAATCCGATTGTTTTTTTTCTTCAAGTGCCATGCCACATGGACGCTTCGTTCCTTTACACCGAGCCGCTCCGACTGACCGGCTTCTGGATCGCCCTGGAGAAATGCACGGTGGAAAACGCCTGTCTGCAGTTCATCCCTGGCTCGCAGGACAGTAAGTAATCTTTGCTCAAGTCTGGACTTTTGATTGTGTGACTCTTAACCCAGCCAGTCCCTCCATGGTGATTGTACCCTGTCCTATCAACAAGATGAATCAATTTATATCAGGTCTTAGGAATTTTGGCAACCCCATCCGAGAAATTTGCACACTTCACCACAACTTTGCCTACTCACTTGAAAACATAACTTGAAAGGTACATGAGTAGTTTGAATTAGTCTTGTGCTAAAAGAAAGCTCATTAATTGGGCTTTCATAATATAGATTTGGAAAGTGCTACACGCAAAACGTCATTCAAAAATTGGTCGTGCCCTTGGGTTTTTTTTTTTTTTACTCACCCTGTTTTGTTATTAATCTGATCTAGTTTTTGGTCAAGATTAGACAATTCTGTGGAATTCTGCAGACAGTCTTTCGCTTTTTTATTGAAAGTTGCTTTAATTGGATTTGAAATTCCCTCCTGCCTTTTTTCCCACAATCTCTCGTCAGCCAAGGTAACCAGTCGAATGATCCGTAATCCAGAGGGCGGGGAACCATCCCTGGTCTTCACTGGTCCCCGAAACCTCGACATGGATCCCAAGCTCTTTGTCCCCGAAGAAGTCGAGCCAGGTAAGCCCATGGCCCCGTCCGCCTATCTTGACTACTTTAGCCAGTTCGCGCCGGTATTATTTTGACAAAAACAAAACTTTTCACTCAACCTGAATGCCTTTTGGGTTGAAGCCATCCCCCTCGGACAGTACACTCATATTTCTGGCCTCGCTCGCTGCAAGCGGGTCGCTGACAGATATTTCCAGCCTCGCTCTTTGCGTTCTGAATACCGCAAAACCTTTGCGGGTATACCCGTCATCTGGCGCAAACTAGTTAACAGGACTCCTGTAGTCATGAAAAAATCCAAAAATTTTAAAACTGTTATGAAAAGTTGAGGAAAAGTCATAGAATTGTGTTATTTTACGAGGAGTCATGGAAAGTTGATATTTCTGCACGACCCATACGTGATGATGCGTGATAGTTGGCTGTGGCAGTCTTCCAGTTTGCATTCCAGTTTACTATACTTCCTCTTTATGCATGTATGCTCTATACTTGTTGCAAGTTCAATGCACCATTGTGATGCTTTTGTGATGCTCAGTAGTCTTGTGTCAAACTGTGTAATATGCCATGGTCCAGTGGTTACGGTGTTTGACTCATGTAGGATGGTACGTGGGTTCAAACCCTGCCAGGAGCATGGTGTTTGTGCCCTTGGGCAAGACACTTTACTACAATTCCCTCTCTCCACCCAGGAGTATGAATGTGCGCTGATATCGGCTGCCGCGTGGTCTCGTGGCCTGATGAACGGGGAATAATTGTAAAATGGTTTGAGATTTTTAAAAGGTCATCAAATTTCAGTTTAATGTTTCTGTTGGAAATCTGTAAGCTCTCAATTCTGAAGGTTCAAACCGAATGTTCAACTTTACCGAATGTTAAACTTTAAAATGTCATGAACTAGTTTTGATCTGTTGTGCTCTTTTCCTAGGGACTTGTATCCTGATCCATGGACAGGTCCTACACAAGAGCGAAGAGAATCGTTCTGACAAATCCCGTAACATCTACACATTCCACATCGCTGAATCGTTGGACGTCGAGTGGTCGAAAGGAAACTGGTAAGATATTCTTGACGCAAACAAACCAAAAGACCAAAAAAAACCCCCAAAGATCCAAAGGCTTTACTGCACTCTCTCTGCGCAAGGGACAGCTGCATTAAGGCCCATCTCAATTCATATCTAAGACGAGTTCCGGACAAGTTGTGGACATTGTATCGGGTATAAGTTGCAGGATTCTGAACAACTTCCCCGCAATCTTCCCGCAATGAAGTTATCAGTGTTGGTGAGTCAAGCAGTTGCTGATGAAAACTTCCTCGAAAACATGTCCGGGACAAATGCAGAGCTTCTTCCGGACAAAGTGACTGATTCTACCCCCAACTTGTCCGGAACTCGTTCCGATGTGAATTGAGACGCGCCCTTAGGGGGGCAAAATTAACTTCATTCTTGTACTGAGAATTTATTTCTTAACTAGAATCTTACAATTTGTTAATTGACTCGCACCAATTTACACAATCCATCATTTGCTTTCAGGCTTCAGCCCACAGAAGAACTTCCCTTTCCCGAGCTTTACACCTCTTGAACTCACAGTGACCTTTGACCGTTCACCCCTGACCCCAAGCCAAGTCGTCCGACCCGTGGGTATTGGAGTGAGTACTTGCATGCACACAGACAGCGTTGAGTTTCGTTCCCGTTCCTGTTTCTCATCTGCACATCTTACAACAGTGTCACAACTTTTCAAATTTAAATCAATCCCCCCCCCAAAAAAAAAATTGGATATTTTTATGATGATCATAGTTCTTCTGATAAGACGTATTGTTGACGGACAACGTTTCTGACAGAAAAAAAAATTTCTGACAGAAAAATGGAATAAAGTCTGCAGTTCTTTCAATTTTTTTGGAAACATTCTTTTGTCGAGTTTTGTCCCAATACCAATGTGAAATATGTCAAAGCTGTGACAATGTTCTTTTTAAATAGTTAATCACTTGTTCATTAATTGAATTCATTGTTCGGCATTTTTAATATCATTACCTCATTTATTAACACAAATCCTGAAAAAACAATATCATGTATTTCATGTACAAATTTTATTCATTGTTAAAATTCATTTTCTGTTTGCATTTTTACAGAATTTATAAAGTTTAATGTATCTTTATTTTTAATTACTAAAATGCACATTTTGTTGAGAAATTTTTGGTATTCCCGAATGTCTTCGAATCTTATTCTTTTCAGTAGTCTCGGCCCAAGCAACAGTGATCAATAGCAATGGTACATTATTGTAGAGCGCCCTCGCACAATTGTTTTCTTACTTGCTCGCACTAACGGCTTAGGAAAATTTGTAGCAATGGGGTGTGGCCATTTAATGTAAATTTAGGCCGTTGGTGTAATATTCATATCTTCGAACAAAATGTCGGCTTCCCATTTTATAGCAGTAGTTGCGCGCTAGTGCGGGGGGAATCACTGCGTTGCATATCTAATTAGCGATGCTTGATCAACGCACGTATGTTTACAACCGTCGCGTGAGTGCGCTGACTATTAACCATTTCTCAATCGCTGATTGGTTCCCAAGAAAAGCCTAGGGAGAAAATAAAGAAAAAGTTAACTGGCCACTGCACGTTAGTGCGACAGGCGCGCTGGTCTAATCATGCCGTTAGATATGCACAATCCATTATCGATCACTAACGTCTGGGGCTAAGACCAACTTTTCCATTATTGTATTTCTCTTTTTAATTTTTTTTTTATTGCAGTTAAATTCTTCACTTTGTCTTTAATATCAAACCAAAAAACAAAACGAAACAAACAACTAAACATAATACTATTAGCATTGTGTTTACCGTGTGCCTCACAGTATTTTCAAGAGTACCTCAAAAATAGAAAATGTATAAAGTCTCGCCAGTCCACGTTCACTTTTTCCGGAACGTCTTGGTACCAAACGCTGGCTAGTCTAGTCACAGACTCCCGTCTTTGGAATGTACCCACTTGTTATCCACCTGATCGATTGAACGGAAGTTGAGGTCAACATTGTTAACTTTCTAATAGTCTTCAATTCGCGATATTTTCAATATGTTGTAAAGCCTTCTTCTTTTTCGAAGTACCCATTGATTGGATGGCCCAGTCAGGACAGAAAATAAATTCAAAAAATAGGGCATTACACACGTGGTAGATCATATACATGGTCCCCGGATTTGTTATATTCCCGTAAAATCTAGCAAGCTTTGAGATAACTTACATGCACTATTATTGATGTTATAATACTTTGAAACAACAGAACAAAATAAACCGAATTAACAAGATTTTTCTAAAACTGTGTAATATTTTGCTCTTGTATTTGTTGATTTTGTCCAGCGATTGTCTGTTTTGTTCATTTGTGCTTTTTAAATACGCACTGAGGCAAATAATTCGTTTTAGCACCTACACTTGCAACATCTGTTGTAAAATTGTTTTATTCATATATTCGTCTGGCGCAAAATACTTGCATAATCTTGCCGCAGCAAAGGCCAATGACGGCCTATCTGTCCCAATTTGGAAGCATTTGTCTATAGAACGGGGATTTTTGTACCTAATTGACCTATCGCGGTAGAATCGCGTCAACGCAGCTTGTCAAATATTGTCCAATTACATGATATACAAATGGATGTGGAACGCGCAACATCCGAGACAAACAAAACTTAGCGTAAAAAAATTCCATACGGTTGTCTAAGGGGCGTGGCCAACTCGCAAACGGCGATAGGTCAATTATTGTGTACCTTTGGTTGATCCCCAAGTCTATTAACTAATAAATTATAATTTCATGAATAATCAGCCAAAAAAATAAAAAATTGATGGAAGAGTCGGCTTAGGTTGGGCGCACCATTCGTCGCATCAGACGCCTAACATTTGTTGAGCGGGTAGGAACGAAAGATTTGTACTTGGGCGTACGTTTGCGAGAATCCTGAACTAACTACAACCAGGGACAAAAACTATGGCTCCGACGGGATATCTCCAAGGTTTGTTTCACATTTGTAAAACTCTTTTATCGGTTTAAAAAAGTCAGAAGACTTTGTGTCTTGTGTCTTTAAATGATTGAGAATATTTGTATTCCCCCTTGGATGGGATGCTAGTGCATCGCAGGTTGCTCCCCAGCTAATGCCGGTACCCATTTATACTCCTGGGTGGAGAGAGGCAAGTGGGGATGAAGTGGCTTGCCCAAGGACACAACATTTGACCAGCAGCTGGATTCGAACCCCTGACCCTCTGATCATGAGTCACGAACACTAACCACTGGGCCACACTTCCCACAAGGGGGGAATTAATTGTTACAGAGTCAGTTACTCTCATGAAGTCAACTGTGTGTTCATTGTTTAGTTTCACAGGGATGGTTACGTTGCATCAAGGATTTCTTGACGGCCGAAGAGGTCGACACCCTGAAGAGTTGCCATGACATCGTGACGGACATGGACCCCAAGGACCTCAGCAGGACAGTCTTCAGCTTTCGAAACCAGGGTTTGCTGGTAAAACAAGATTGTTTTTTTCACCTAAAAAAAAAACACATAGAAAAAAAAGAAAAATGGCATCTCTATGTTAAGGTTTGCAATTGACCTCCTGTTTTCAAAAGTGGATGTGGTGGTTAGGCCATGTCAACTCTCAGAAAACTGTTTTGTTCTTTGCTTCATGTACATGTATATCTCCCGGAAGGTGGGTGTTTAAAAAAATATTTACATTTACTGCTTTGCATTTGCAGATAGTTTGAACAAGATGCTTAGGTCAAGGTAAAAAGAAAATGTTTTTTTCCCAGACTTTAAAAAAATAAAAGGAAAGGAAGGAGACAGGCACTTGTTTTCTGCGTTTTTTCCCCAAGATGGCAGATTTTCCAAAAGGGCAGATGGATTCTTCTATTTTCTTTACTCTTTTGCTGATGCTTTTGTGTCCAAAGGAGCCGTCACCCTTTCTACAAAGATTTTGAACTAAGGAAAAAAGCTAAAAAGCTAAAATCAATTTGCTGGAAACAAATAAGAAGAAAAAATATATTAAAAATTTATGATTAAAAATAAAGGAAAAATGGGGAAAAAAGGAAACGGGCACGAAAAAAGAAACTTGGACGAGGAACAGGTTTTTTTCTAACTTGGTGGTTTTGCCTGTTTGCTGCCCTTGGTGACGCGGTCTATTGTGAAATACTTCACCTTTGTTATTTTCTTTCTTTTGATAACAGATGATGGACGATTATTTCCTGCCTAGTGGTGATAAGATCTGATTCTTCTTTGCGCAGGGAGCCATCAGCAAGGAAGCTGACAGCAAGCCAGAAGGAATAATGTTACGGTGTATTTAGTACCGAGTCATTTCATTTTTGGAAAGCTGCAACTGATCTACCCTGGTAGGTTACTTTTGGAATAAATGCAAATGATCCTCTTTGCCTTTAAGGGGAATTCCCACATTATGATGTAATCGTTGAATGTCCTCTTTCCCAGGGACTTGTATCCTGATCCATGGACAACCCATTCACAAGAGCAAGGTGAATCGTCCAGACAAGTACAGGCAGGGCTACGTATTCCACATCATTGAATCACTGGACACCGAGTAGTCCAAAGGAAACTGGTAAGTTATTACAGCAACTTGCAGTGTCGGGTTTATTCGTCAGTGATTATCTTACGTGTTTAAGAGCCATCTAGATCGGTATAATGCATGTATAGAGACGTTTTCATGGACCTTCCCCTGTCCGGAGCCCAGTCTAAACCTTCACAAGGGCTATCTTACTGTAGGCTCGAGTCTGGGTACGGACCCTTCCCAAAAGTTCCCTCAAAACCGTTCCTAGAAAAGAAATCCCTTACGCTATATCCCATTGTACTTCTGAAGTTGGCCTTTTTCAGTTTAAGCTCTTGTATGGCACTTCGGAAAGACAGAAGACAAGAAACCGAACATATAAACAATTCTTCAATTTGTGATATCTTCATCTTTTATTGGTTTTTTTTTCTTCAAATGCTGCAACTTTTTGAAATGGGAAAAAATGAAGATGAAATGCCATAGATTTCTGGTCGCTCTAGAACTTACAAATCCTAGGCTTTTATTCAGCAACAATTTACTGTTGACAAGATATTTGTACTTTTCCCATAAAACAATAAATAAAAACCTGTCTGTTCTCATAATAAACAGGCAGCGATGTAGTACATACTTGTAAATTTTATACAAATCTAGAGTTAGTCCTACGTTTGAAAATTGTTCAACGCTCACTTGCTAAATACTCGTAAAAGACAAACCAAAGAAAGCATTTCTTTCATATTTAGCTGGATATTAGTCAATAAATAAAATAAGTACATGAAGAGAAAAAAACACGGAAAAACATTTAATATTTACAATATAACAATAATTCTCTGTATAAATGGCTATTATGCCCTTAATAAATAGCTTGGTGATTTTTTTATACTTTTTTTTAGAAAACAGCTGTTTGGTCACGAATTTCCGCTTTTCTGGAAATTGTTTTTTAAAGTGGTCGTTAAACTTAACAGGAAATTAACATGTGAATAAACGGGCTTCCGTTTTTCATCATTTAAACAAGTATCGTTTTCCAACGATAGTGCAGTATTGTCTGCAGCCCTTTTGTTTAAAGGGAATGTACAACATTTGCTTTTGCTGCAATTTTCAGAAATAAAAAGATTTGGAGGACTAGAATGTTATAGCAAATATTGTTAAACTGACTAGTTTCACGTTTTGGGCTTGTGGATGCTGGAAAACCCAAGAAAACCAATCATATTCTTGTAGTCTGGTTCCCTGACCCCACTTAAGATGAAACAGTGCAATTTGTCAACTTTGGGGAATTGTAAAGTCAGAGAATCAGTCTGGCAGGCTTGTACCTCTTCACAGGTGTGTAATCAATTGCAAAGAAAATGCGGAATAACTAAATATGAAAAAGTAGGAGCAGTTTTTGAAAATAAACCAGTTTTCTCCAACGCTGGTCAGCCGACCAGCGTTGAAAAAATGCAATTTTTCTTGAAAATGTCAGCACACCAGGAGCTACGATTTTACAGGATGCTTTAGACTGTCATTACCTAACAATCCAGTAAGGTATTTCGTGATAATTTGATCTTTTCGATTTTTGATGTTTGCAAATGTTGTATCTTCCCCTTAAGTTATGAGTTGGAATTGTGAGGATACTGTATATGGCAAGCTTGAGTCGGACATTTATGTACGTATTACTGGCCAGTTCGAAGTAAAGAGATCATTAAATAGCACTGATTTGATTGGTCATACCTTTTAACTCGTGACCAAACTTGTGATTGACTTGTGACCGGACGTGTGATGGACTGGACTGATAGTACACTACAAAAAGCAAGAAATTCTTTTCATATTTCCCTCATATTTTACTGTGTAGCATCAACCTCTGTATACCAGGGATCTTTCGATCGATGCACTCGCAATCCAAAATAGAGCAGCTTTTTTCATCTTGTCTTGAAAACAATTGTGACTTGGTTAATACATCTTTGATGTCTTGAAACAGAACAAAAGTGTCTTTTGTTTTGCTAGCAGAACCCTCCCCCCAATTCTGTTTGAGTCCTTTTCCAAGAAGTAACACAGACATTTCCTGTAACTAACGATGAACAAAACTACAGTTCGACCAAAAATAAAGTTATCTAAGAAAAGTATCAAGATGACACTGATGATAAAACGCAAACAAATTTGCTCATTTGGCGATTATTGTTCATTTGTCTTAAATACGTACTTAAGTACCTGCCAAGTTTTTCACTAAACTTTCCGACCGGAAAAAAAGACAAAAGTTTGGATCAAATAACAAAAGACACTTTGCATAGGCCTACACATTTACAGACTGAAACGAAACATGTATGCACTTGTTGAGATATTTAGAATGTAAAACATTGCAAGGTAAGACATTTTTAGCAAGCTTATGATCTTTCTTAATTTAAGTCCGAAGATGGCCATTTTTCTTGCGAAAGTTTGAAAGTAGGGCTTTTATTGTTATTCCAATGAATGTTAAAACAGCACTTTCCTTTATAGATATAATAAATAGGCTTTTGGGGACTTGTGAGTTACATGCATTGCATGTCTATTTTTGCCTCGTTGAGTTGGATCCATGTGTTGGGTATAGCGCCCTCTTGTGTCATTTTCTTCCTAACTTCTCATTAACATGACAATGAGTTTCAATGCTTTGCAGTATTTCAAACAGGAGGGAATATTTTCCTTTTTTGCACAAATTTGTGCTGGTCCCAGAGCTCCCTGTCCTCGTCATACCTAACTGACTGATTAACTGACTGACACACTTGTGGAACTGGGCAGTGCTGTTGTATAGGATCACCCTGTAACACTGTAGGGCTAAATACAGATGCATGAAAAGACTTCCCGGCAGTGAATTGCGAAAAAAAAAGAAGTAGCGACAAAAGATTGTTCATACTTTTGGTTGTGAAGTTGGCTTGCAAAAGTCGGCCTTTGAATTGGACTGTATAAGCTTACATACATGTACATGTAAGAGTTGATATTTACATATTCATTATGAATACAATGGAAAAGTTCATAACAAAGACAGAAGAGATCCATCGTTGAATTGTTTTGTCATTTGGTTGAAAGAGTGGCTGATATTTGAAACTTCTTGAAAAGTAGTTATTTCCCCCCAAAAAATATGTACTGTACAACTTCCGTATTGACCCAGTAGCCATCATTGTCTGAATCCCGGACTGCATTATGTAGTCAGTCACTTGATATTGTATTGGGTACCAGCCTATTCAGTCATGGGCCTCACGGTACGGCCAAAATGAGGTTAACAGGCAGGCTGCAGTCTGGTTCCTGGTAGTGCTCATCCTGATGTCAGTTGGCTATGTTAAGGGCACCAGCCTGTCATGCACCAATAGCCTCACTCTGGGTCTCACATTCTCCTATGGAAGAAAATCCAAGATGGCTCCATGCAGTGCAGATCTACAGAGTCTGAATGTTTCAGTGAGTTGGGCATTCCTTCCAGGCTAGTCATTCGATTGCATTGAAGTACGAGTCCTGCATTGAGTACAGCTTGTCGATAGGATTACTAATGGATATGCTGTGGTGCACCAGACTATTTCCTTCACACTCGCTCCCACTACTGTGCAGAGAGGTACCCTGACTCGTCGAGACGAGATCGTCGTCGATACCGCTGTCTATCGGCGGGGGGCCATCGGCCATGAACATTTGATCGTGGGCGTACATAGGGGAGGTGGAGGTCACCCCCTGGGGTGGGGGAATGGAGAGGGCCATGGAGGACTCAGGGTATGGTGGGGGGTCTGACATGGGTGGTGTCATGTGGGGGGTCATGTCGAATTCGTGGTTGCTAAGGTCATCGAAGGAGAAATCGTCATCGTCATCGTCCATTTTGACACAGGTGCTGTCATCACTGTCCGAATCTGAAACACATGAAGAAAAGGAGAAAAGAGTCACAAGGTGGGACTCAAAACAGCAACCTCTTATTTACTAGTGCAGATGTCTTACCTTCATTATTAATATTGGTTTTGCCCGTCACCAATGTAATTCCATAAGCACTGTTTACCTAATGCTGTCCATACGCAAGTCTCTAAGCTGACGCAGGTGGGACTCGAACCCATGACCTCATGATTACAAGTGCAGATGTCTTACCTTCATTGCTCAATATTGGTTTTGCCCTTAATTCACCTAATTCACTCAATTTCATCAGCACTGCACTGTCTACTCAGTGCTGTCCTAGGGCTCTTAGGAAAGAAAATTCACTACATTCAGGTGGGACTCGAACCCACGACCTCCCGCTTATGAATGCCGATGTCTTACCTTCATTCTTGTCCTTATTTCGCCGATGTCGGTTCTGGCCACTTCTTCTCTGGGCTGCGGCCTCCTGCTCCGTCATATTCTTCCTGGCTAGTTTCTTCATCTAAGAGTCAAAGGAACAAAAGGACAAGACATCTTTGACAACTCTTGATGATGGCATCCGAAAGTCTTTGAACCAAATCAGCTTCTCCTTAAGATTTTAAATAGTATCCAGTCATTCTTATTCATTCTTGAAACAAACAAGACACTTTTTAGTAGACCATGGTAGGATATTGACAACGATGAAATAGTTCAATCAAGTATTTAAAAGCTGAATGGATGCTTTTCTTGTCAGCATCTTCTGACTTATTTGGAACGAGTGCCAATTACTTGTTGATGCGTTTCACATATTTACATATTCAGTTTAATCATCTGATGTGCTCTGTGCACTTTGACAGCGTAAACTATTTTTGCAGCAATTCTCATAGTTAGTGAGTGCTCAACTTCTAGTTTTTTTCCTTCCTTTTTTTTGGGTGTGGGTACTTGGATCTAGCTCACTCAATTTCTACTTGTTAAAGGTATTTTCCCCGGTATACATTTATTTCAAAATTGTAAATGCATGAACAGCATGTGTGAACCAGTGGAATGGTAATGCCTGCCACTTTGCATTCACTGTAAAAAGTACATACCGCCCTCTATAGGTCATGCATAGAGCCCATATCATTGAAACAGTGCTTTGAGAGTATAGTGAGCGTGTAAGTGGATAGGTTAGTAGCAAATAGGAAAATAGCCAGGTTTTTAGGGTAGATAGCTTCATTGGCAATTTAACACTGACAGACATAGTGAAGACAGAGTGATAATGAAACAGCAGTAGAAATTGGCTAATTGTCAGATGTTAATAATGTAGTGACTGTTTCCTGTTTAATTAGCCAGATTTTTAGGGTCGATAGCTACTTTGGCAATTTTACACAGACAGACATAACGGAGACAGAGTGCTAATGAAACAGCAGTAGACATTGGCTTTGTCAAATGTTAACATACAGTGACTGTTTCCCGTTCAAATTTTGTTTTTCATTGTCTGAGAAGTTACCAAATTAATTTGTAAAGTTGGGCTACGGTTACCCAATCCCATAATCTGGAACCGATTCCTGACATCAGCGGTTGGGTACTCGGGTACCCGGTTATAATGCACAGCCCTAGAAAATATTTTTCACAAATATAGCATTTTTGGTTTAATACAAAGCAGCATTTTAGAGCATTGCAGAAGATAAAGATTATTTTCGCTTTAACACCAGAAGAAGAAGTAGAGAAGCGTGCTTGAAAGTAGGCAGATACCCAGGCAAAAGTGTTTTCCTAGTCACGATATCATCGGACAAACTAAAACTATAATTTTGCCTGAGAACCAACCTCCTTTCTTTGTTTGTTTTCAACTTTTTTTCTTTTTAAAAGGCAGGAATTAATTTGTGAAAATTACTTTTTGTATTCAGGATGTCTCCTGTCTCGCCCCTCACCTTAGCTCTTTGGTTCTGGAACCAGACTTGAACCACGCGGACGCTCAGTCCTGTCTCGGCTGCTAAGGACTCTCGCACCTAGAAGATGAAACAGAGAATTTAAAAATTCATTTTTTATCCAAACAGAAAACCATAGCTGTTTTAACTTGTGTCTATAAAGTTGTGTTTATATTTCACGTGAAAGCGAAAGCGAAGCGAAATTCATGAAGTCAACAGTTTAAATTTCATTGTGATGTTCACTGTACCCGGTAACTCTAACGAATTTGCTTCACACCAATACATTTCCATGAAGCAAATTCGTTAGGATGATGGCGGACATCTGAATGTAACTTCAGTGGTTGAAGTCGTGTAATTTGCTTCGCTTTCGCTTTCGCGTGAAGTCTAAACCGGCTTTATTGCTGTGATTTTGCTCGCTGAGTACAATTAAATACATGGGCATAGCATCTGTAGAAAGTATATGCTGCCCTCTGTTGCCGTGAAACTGAAAGGACCTGAAAACATCAGTGTTTCTTATTGACTAATAATGGTGAAATCCCTACGTTAAATTTAAGAGTCTGCACAATTCTCATAACCTCATAGCGGGTAGATTCCCAGAAGTTTCTCAAAATCCTGCAACTAGTACAAGATACAATGAACTTGTCCTGAAGTTGCTTTAGATTCTTTTTGAGATGATGCGTTAGTTTGCCATTTCCCATAGCAAAGCTTTAAAAGTTTAAAATCACATTAACTTTCACGGCTATGTTGTGTCTCTCTCTCAAATGGCTGTTATTTTCTTCTCCTGATTTTGAGTTGAATCTGTGTCCAATTTGAGATCAAGGGGGAGTAGATCGTCTTACTTTTCGACAAGGTTTTGAGGAGACTTCGAAGGAAGCCTTGAACGCTCGTCTCTGTTGGGTGGTCAGGATTGTCCTCGGCCGCTTGGGACCTTTCCTCCCATCTGAATGTTCTTTACGTGAAACTGGAAAGAAATGAAAAAAAATCAAATCAAATTTGCTTCTTGACATTCACTGCCTAAACTCATTGTTATCGGAGATCTTTTGTGAATGAATTCATTGGCTTGCTTGGATGGGACTCGAACCCACGACCTCTTACTTGCTAACAAGTGTAGACGTCTTACCATTTGACCACCGTGTTTACTGGGTAGGTCAGCTTGTTTCACATCTGACTTGGCAGTGGGGACCACACATATCTTTCGAATGGGAATTTTTCTTGCACTTTTTTCTGTCTAATCTTCTTTTGGCTTTGTCAACTTCGGACTCAATTCTCAGCATGGCTCTATCAAAAATGAAATGATTGTCCAAGTTTTTTTCGACTTCATCTTTATAATTTTGGCTGAACAATATTGTGTTCATCTTCTTCTTCATTCATTCACTTTCATGATGACTTGATGAGTTGGGCCCAACTGCCCCTGTCGAGCATAGTGTTGGAAAGAGATGGACCACTCAGACCAGTTTCTAGCTTGATGGATGTTTTCAGGGTCATGTTTGGACGACCTTTTCGTCGAGGGGCTTCAGGATTCCAGAGGAGAACTTGACTAGCTGGCTCATTGTGTACATAGTTGTTCCATGTAGTAGAGTTCTTAGCGTGGCTCTATCATGAGTGAAATGGATAGCAAAGTTTGTGTTGCCACATTTTCAATTTTTTTTCTCCATCTCATATTTTCTAAGCAATTCTTGTCCGCTTATTGGCAGCTCTATTAGACTGACTCTAGCATCATTGTAATGGTGGCTACGGTTCCTGGTAGCAAATTTGTGACATGACGGCACACATACTGACGTTGGAATTCTCTTAAATGGAACTCAGTTCAACTTGGCGAATTTCCCTTCAAATCTTTTGCAAACCAAACTCACCCAAGTGTGTATTTGCCTGCAATCAGGGACCCCTATTGTCCCTCTTTTGTTTGTACTCAAACTTTTTAGGAAGACCTCCTATATGCTTTGTACAGGATCGCCAAATTGGGGATCTTCGGGAATTGGGGACCCTATTGCCCTCTATTGTTCAACGTCCCCTATTGAATGCAGAAACAAACTCAATTTACACTTGCAAGAAATGTGACATGGCCTTTATAGTGTAGTGTGTATCAAAGGCCAGCACACATCATAAAGATTAATTTAACTCAGAGGCAAAGCTTGGGCCATACCTAGTAACATACCTTTCTGTTCCATGGTCCCCTGCTCCTTAGTGTAATCCTCCTTGCAGTAGAGCCGGTTTTCCTTCAGGACAAACTCGTCTCCCTTCTTGAGCTGTTGCCGGCAGATGACGCAAGTGAAGCATCGCAGGTGGTAGACGTTGCTTAGCGCCCGCATCACTAGCTCACTGGAGGGGATGGACTGAAGACAGCTATTGCACTTTGTTCCGAACAACCTAATGAAAAAGCGAAGATGAAGAAGAAAAAGAGAAGAAACTAGAGATGAGCGTTTTGGCTGTCAAGATTTGCAAGGGTGACTAAAATGGGATTTTTGAGCCTGCGCAACCTCCAGATTGGAGGCAGCTATAATGCTTTCTTCCGATCAACATGGAGCAAAAACAAAATGCAGTGAATGTTCAGTTTTGACCTCCACTGACATAATTTCATAAGTGCTGTCTGCGAGCTTGCGAGGACAAATTCACAAGCTTACTCCCGTGGGACTCGAACCCATGACCTCCTGCTTAGTAGTGTAGACGTCTTAACCATCAATCATTGAGGGACAAAAAAATAAAGATGAGCATTTTGGCTGTCGAAATGTTAAATATTCCTTATATACAACAAATACATAATGCATGAATTAACAATTATGACTAATGTATATTCCCAACAGCACTGCCACAAACAAAAGATTTGTCATAAAGTTTTAAATCCCCCCCCCTAAAAAAAATCTTATATGTCACTGCAATTTAGGGATTGCAATTGAACCCCTAAGCAACAAAGGCATATGGGGATGGTTGCTTCAAACAATGCCAGTGTATTGTCATGGTAGCTGGGGGGGGGGGGTATTCAACACCAGATGAGATAGATATTTGCTATTGGGTTTAAAAGCTGGCACTGATCGTGGGCATGAATTCATCGAGAAAACATGAGGCAGGTAACAGCTTGAAAGAAAGACGGGGCCTGTGCCAGTTTGTTTCAGTTTAATGGTTTTCTGGTAGCTTATATTTTATGGGTGGCGACGGTTTCCTTTGTGGTTCATGGTTGCTTTGAGAAGGGATCTTTTTAGAATTATCTGCGGCAACTCTGAGTTGCAGTTCAGTCAGTCAATGACTCAGTCAATCAGTCATTTCTGTAAAGCAAGGAAACCTGGCTAAAATGGGCTGTAGTCTTGTAATTGTTTTGTAAGAGTTTTGCAGTGACTAGACAATGGAATATTTCAACAACAACAAATGTTTTTTTTTAATCCATCCAATTTCCAAACTGAACTTAAACAGTCACTACTAATTTATCCCAAGTGAGCAATATCTAAATAAAGCACAAATCAATAAACAAACATCTCCCTTCGCCCATTGATGGAGACATTTAATCCAAAAAATTCCCTCCTTCCTGGGAGTTTTTCAATTAAAAAACTTCGCTTTAAGAAATCTCAGCTCTCCGTTTTCTGTTAAGTCAATAAGGATTTGTATAAAGACGGGTCACGTGCCGGTACACAATGTTCTTAAATCCACGTGATTAGCACCATTCAGGCAACCAACGGCGCGGAGAGTCGGACTGAATGATCCCGGTACCCCGCTATTGTTCGTGCAATTAGGGCGTCATTGTCTGGTCGGTTGACGGATTCCTTCAGCCCATGCTGTTTAATTCCCAAACCGAGCGATCAGTCTTCTGTCTTTTTTTTGTTGGACAGCACGCTTGGATTGGCAATAAATTCCGAGTTCAGTGTCTTGCGCCGCGGCCGGTCCCAAATTGGCAAGACGTTAAGAAGCTTGATTGCATGACTCGGACCGGGGTGCGGGGACATTGTACAGCCGCAACAGTGATATCACACAGTGTAAATTAGCAATTAAGCATCTTTTCATTACGGGCCGTTGCACTTGTTGTCAAACACGCATTGCTAGTTTTTTCCTTTCTTTGTGACTGTCGTAGTCCGATAGTATTTGGGCAGGGAGACATGAGAACAATTGTTCAATTAAGGGCAGGCGCGCTAGAATTATCTCCATTTGTTGCTTCATATTGATTTCGGATTTTTTTTCCCTTCAAAACCTTAATCATCCATTGGAGAATCCTCCATTGAGCGCTAACGAACAACTTAACTACTGATTGTCGTGATTGACCAATTTCACAGAAACTGCATTTTTTTTGTTACACTCTTTGACCCTTAATTCCCAGATTAATCTATCTGTCAGCTATAATTAGATTCAGTGACATCACTCTGACTTGGCAAATTGCCAATGCAAATTTGTTGTTGATTACAAGTAAGGAGTCGTTGTTGTGAATGGAAACATTTTCTTTGTCATAAAAGACAAAGAAGACTTTGAATTTAAATTAAGATTGACATATAGAGAAAAATACTGTTCATGCTATTGTACTTGCCAGAAAAAAAGCTTACTTTGTGCGTGTAAGGATATTTTGCCAGTTGAACATAAATATTGAAACATATTAACCCATTTTTCTGTAGAACTGTGTCTTTTGCAGAATTTTTTTTTTTGGCAGCATTTAAAAAAAATTGTAAGTAAGGCTGTGAAATTGTGGACAAATTGCACTCAGAAACATTGCCAGTATTTTGAGTTTCGTCAAATCCTCGTTTGTCCCCGTCAACTCGAAATCTTGACATGATTGAGATGTTTTCCCCGTCGAAACAACAAAATTGTTAATAATCACATTTTTTTTCTGGCGAAGCATTTTTTTCCCCCTCCTGTTCGTAACACTCCTATCTGGCAGGAAATGACACAGAGGTCGTTGCCACGGAAACACATCTTTCTTATGCCCTGTGGAACCCCCAATCCCCCCCTTCTTCCCCCCGCTGAAGATGTCGGCAATATTACGACACTAATAACGCACGCTCAGGATTTTTATGAACAGCGCTTCGAGAGGACAAACTGCTCGGGAACTAACCAACAAAATTGTGGCATTCACAGACAAGTATTGCAATTATTGTGAGATTGTAAAATTGGCAGCCAGAGATGTAATTTTGTCTGCTGGGAAAAATACATTGTAATTTACCCCTTTCATATTGCTGTGCGTCATATTAGTTTGATTTTTTTTTTAGAAAGAAACACGATATTCCAAATATTTTTTCAACACTTTTGTCCTTCCAATTTATTCTTCAATCACTTCAGTCACCCTGTAGTTTAAAACGTCTTCAGCTCTTTTTTTAATTTTAAGGATAACATACAATCTTTGCTTTTGCTTTAGTTTTCAGGAATGGATTGATTTGGGGGTTAGTATTTTATAACAAATATTGTAACATTGACCTGTTTAAGCTTTTGTGTTCATGGATGCTGGAAAAACCAGCAACAAATGTTGTTCTTGTAGTCTGGTTCCCTGACACTACTTCAGATGAAACGGAGCAATTTATAGACGTCGGGGAATTGTCAGGTCAGGGAAACTATACTAGCTGGCTTGCACCTGTTTACAGATGTGTAACCGATTGCAAACAAAATGTGGACTAACTAAATTTCGTAAACTGAGGACAGTGTTTCAAGAAAGTAAGTTTTTTCCCAACGATGGTTGGCCAAACCATCGTTGGAAAATTTTATGAAAATGAAGTTTTCTTGAAAATGACAGCACACCAGGTGCCATGATTTCACAGGATGCTTGAGACTATTATTCACTTACAGTCAAGTAAGGTATTTCATAATACTTTGGTAATTTCTTTTTTTTAATATATGCAAAATATTGTGTGTTATACCTTTTGAGTGAGAGTCGAATTTCTAGAGATTAAAAATCATAAAACCGCTGGTTTTTCATTCAATTTCTGAATGAAAATAGCATCTCACTAACTCTCCTCTTTTACTTCTGTTTGTAAAGATGATTTTAAAACTGTTTCTTATCAGGTTGCATCATGTGTTCAGTTTGTTGACTTGTTCTCATGAGTACAATTGGTTTCGTTAACCCAACCCCATGCTGTTTTCTGACTTCGATTCTGCATGCGCAAAAGATATGATTAACTTGTGATTGATTTGGTTAGATCCAGCAGGTTGGGTTGGATTGATTGATAGCCTGTGTGTTCTCGGCAGTGGTTTATTGGCTGGATGAGTGGTTACCGTCTGAATTCCCTGGTCCCCACTCATGCATCACATTGACATGCTATGGACTGTCACCATAGCAACCTGAAATTCACATCTTTTAAACTCTCCGTCCTTTGTCAATTTTTTCTGGTTTGTTGTGACGTGACTGGTTGCGTTGGTATAAGCTTCCAGAATAACATTGAAATAGATCTTACCCCAAAAAACCCAGCAACGCCATTTCTTGTTGTTATTTCAGTCGGTCTACGACGTCGTTAGCAACACTGATGTAAAACTCATATAAAAAACATGTCGTGATATATGTGCCTTCTGTAGGTAAATAAAAATCCCCCCCTCCCCGACAGGAAAAAAATTATGTAGTGCTGGCAAGCACCAAGCAGCGTGGAGACCTTTTGAGTGTCTGTAAATTTACGGCCGGTTGGATTCCTACATAGCTATCTAAAGGAAACATCTCGCTTGATTTATGCGAACTCACGCTCTGTATATTGAGAATAGCCTTTGCGGTTCTCCCGCCATCTATCTTAATTAATCCTGCGTCGTGTGTGTGACTGGCCGTTGTAGAGCGCGGCGGAGAGCAGAAGAAGAAAGAAAAAAAGAAAAGGAAAAAAAAAAAACCGGATAGGTTTGGATCAGGCTAGCTGATCACGATTGGTACACACATACAGTGAGACACACGCCGATTGCACACAGATGCAACACGTGGCCATTGTGTGCCGAAATTCCCCGCCCGTGACATCACACATCCGATCGGGTTTTTTTGGCAACTCCACAGGAGCTTGCAACTCAATACTCCGCAAAAAAAACCACGGACTTAATTCCAACCGAAAAACTGCTCGCGTAATATTGAAGCAAGGTGTGAGGGTGAGGTCCACTATTTCGACGCCTCGACAGCCTCACTCGTTTTGAAAAACAGGGGGAAAGAATTGAAAACACGGCTAGGGAACGGCGTCGGCCAATCAGAGACCGCGGACCCGCTCTCAAGGTGTGAGCCAAGTGGGCCGGCGAGAGGAGAAGGGAAAACACGGCCCGCCGCGCCGCGCTTGTCGTGTAGGGCTCTGAAGCGGTACATCTGGACAAGCTGGTGAAACAACCGCGCCATTATGAAACGCTTAGCTCCTCTTAAACGCCACTTCAGGAAGCAGGCACGCCATCTTACCCCTCCATTAAGAAAATGTGTACCGACCACTTATGGCCCGGAAAAACTCAAAAGACA